CTGGGCTAGAAGGGCTCGACGGGGCTAGCGGGGCGCGAACGGGTCTATCGAGGAGTTAAGGAGCCAGCGGGGCGCACGGGGCCAGCGGGGCGCACGGGGCCAGTGGGGTGCATGGGGCCAGCAGAGCGTTAACGGGGCCAGCGGGGTGCTAAGGAGCCAGCGGGGCTCTAAGGGGCTAGCGGGGTGTACGGGGCCAGCGGGGCCCTAAGGGGCCAACGTGGTGCTAATGGAGCGGCTAGGACTAGGCCTAACGCGGAAGCGCAGGTGGGCGGGGGGGGACCTAGCCTAGCATGATTCCCTATTAAAGTGAGAATGAGTGACTAGAATGATGCAAACATGTTGATTTTGTATAAGGGGTTGTACCCTCTAAGAGTACGCACCTATCTGGGCAATAAGACATACAAAATATGTTAGACAAGAGCTTGACCGCTGCATCTTCCACCTAGTGGACACACGTAACATTGCATTGGAGTTTGGTGGAGGACCCAACTCCTTGTAGCTTGTCGGATACGCGGATGCTGATGACACGGGAGACAAGCAGAAGCGTAGCTGCACCAACGGCTACGTGTTCGTCCTCGGTGGAGCTGCTGTTTCGTGGGCGTGCGAGAAAACTCGATGCACAACGCTGTCGTTAACTTAATCCGAGTACATCGCTGCGACGGAGGGTGGAAAGGAAGTGCGTCGCCTACGCTTCCTGCTCGCCGAATTCCGTCTACTGGACGCGGGCGAGCCGACCGTCCTCAACGTTGACAACACCTCCGACATTGCAGTCGCGGAGGGACTTGGGCTCAAGGGAAGTCTCAAGCACATGGAAAGGCATTACATGTGGTTGCAGCACATGGTGAAGCGCTAGAAACTTGCGATGAAGTACATCCTGACGGCCGAGGCACTGCATTTTCCAGCTTTCAACCGCTGTTTCGCGGCCGTGGGACAAGTGGACCTCGCGGCTGATGGTGACGACGATGCTCTTCAGTCCTCGTAAGAATCGGCGCCATGTCTTTCAACATGGCTGGTGTGGTGTGTACGCGTGTGTAATGCACGCAAAATTGAAGGGCTTTGGCTTTCCTTTTGTTGTACAATACGTGTGTTTTCGTGTTCGTTTGGTGTGCTGACACTGTTCTTGCCCAGGCGTGAGCAGGGCACGGGAGTGTTGAAGAAGCCCTAGAACGCGCCTGTGCACCGGCTGGCTTGCAGAATCCACGTGAATAGGTGGGCTGGCTGAATCCGCGGGATACACATGATGCCCGCCGGAGGCCTAGCTCAATACGTGGCCCAATCAGGAACCATCGCCCATTAGCGTTGTCACACGGGCAACGGCCCACTCAACGTGGGCCGTGAACAGAGCCAGCAGTGCAGCGTCATCATGACAGCGGTGACAAACATGCGGCACAAGACGAAGGATGTGCGCCGCAACCTTTTTCGCCACAAACTTCCAGCCGCGCTCGGAATAGCGCTCCGGCGAAGGTCAGCGAGCCTTTCGTTGAGCTCGCAAAATGACACACGCCTCGCTGGGTTTGTTTGTGGCTTGAGCGTCGCCGCATGAAACCGAACGCTGACTTGGCAGCGAAATGGGGTCGCGATGTCCCGATGCCAGGGGTCGTTCTCAACATCCGACAGCCAACCCAGGAACAGACTCGAAAACAAATTCCCACAATCCACGCAGTAGTTATTGTTGCGACACGAACCTTGAATTCGTAATATAAGAAATATTTAGAACACGCCCGTAATATTTGGAGCTGAAATGCGACGCCAACACCTCACCCCATCACACTGAGTATAAAAGAGAGCAAACCAAACCAGAAAAAATCACTCAACATCTCACCCGCCAACCACCACTCTGGTGCTACACCAGGGAAACTCTCTCAAGCTTGAAAGCGTCGAAACTTAACACAGGGTAACTAAGTGAACAATGGCTCGCCAAAATATGCCACTCAAACCTACCCCGCAAAACATCAAAATGGTAACCTTCGTGCCCGTGCGAAAGGCCCACATGCCCGTGACGATGCCGTGCGAAACCCGTGCGCGTTTTTGTCTACCGGCACCCTGAAAAGTTGTGTTCCTCTGTCAGGCTCAAGGTGTAGGACCCGCGAGCAGAATACACGTGCACGCGTTAGCATGACTCACATGCATGGGCTGGCAAGTTCACGTGCCCGAGAGGATCCGCGTGAAAGGGTTGTGGAACGAGCCTGCTCAGACAAGCGTGAATTTCCAGGATTTGTAGGCAGGATCCGCGGGCAAGATCCGTAGGCAGAATGTGCGGGAAGAAGACACGTGCAGGATGAGCGGGCAGAATCCGCAGGATCCCTAGCACGGCACGGGAAGTGCGGAACTCCAAGGCCGAAGTGCAAAAATCTTGCCTGGGAAATTTCGTAACGCCGAAATTGAACCCTGGCAAGGAAAATTGAAACTATAACTGACAGTGAACCGAATACACGTTTTTGTAACAGCAAAAACGTGCTTATAATTGTTAAAATACCTGGGTGGGTAGTAGCAATCTGAACTACTGTTAGGTAGGTGCACAACTGTCACCGTTGCATGTGCTAGGTTCTCTACCTACCAGCGCTGACTTGTCACATATGCGCTTCCAGTTTTTAGGTGAACGTTCGTGTGAACGTTCTTTCTTGGTTTAGACTTGGCAACATAATCCACCTTGCATGCTTGTCTATCTGGCGGACTATGTCACCTAGGTGTAGTCCATTCATGGGAACTCAAGCAATTGGGATAGTATTCCCCTAGCAAGCCCCTATAGTCGTTTTCCTTGTCGGTCTCACCCCGGCATACGAAGTCACACGCAAGATGCTCTTGGGCCTTGCTCATGCGGACCTCCCTTTCTGCCGAAAAAAACAACAGCGCACAAGTCAAGGCCAATGTAATCTGCGCTCTTGTGCCTTATGCCTATGCCGCTTCGACACCATTCCAACGCAACCACTTCCCTCCGTGTCCCTACGTCATCAAGTATGGCCCTCTTGCCGGCCAGGTGTGTGGCGGTACCAACCACACTCTCGCCTCCTGCTTCAAGAAGAAGGATGTCGTGTGGTATTTCGTCAATGGGACCGCCTCGAAGCCGCCAAGCTGGATGGTCAATCGTGCTCCTCGTAAGGTCAATCAAGTCGAAGCGCAAAATTCCGCGCAGGCTGCTGTAGCTCCCCCTGTTGATGTGCCAGCACCATGCGCTGCCCGCAGCAGCACCACCTCCTTCGGCGGCAGCACCACGCGCCGCCTGCAGCAGCACCACCTCCTTCGGGCAACACCACGCGCTGCCCGCAGTAGCACCACCTCATTCGACGGCAGCACCACACGTCATAGAAATGGGTCTGTGAGGTATAGATATGATCATAAAATGAAGGTGTGCTAGCTAGTTTCTATTTGTAATTGTCTTAGTTAGGCCAATTTTTAGAGGGTACAGCCCTAGTTTTGTATCCCTCGACATTTTCCCCTTGGCACACATTTTCTCGATAATCTAACATGGAAACAGAGCTAGGTAGGTTTCCACATCTCACGCTTCCGCTAGTGTCGCAAAACAAAAACTCGCACCTCCCCCCTCTCCGATTTCGCGCTTCGTAGATCCTCCCCCCCCCCCTCCCCCCCAACCCCCCCCCAGCACTGGCTCGTTTCCGTATGCCAACCAGCCGGCATGCCAACCAGCTCGCTCGTTCGCTAGCCCACGAGCTAGCTCTCTAGCTCGCCTTCCCTAACTGCGCCAGCCTCCCATTCCGCCCGTAGCCCGTTCTTTCGCGCCTGCTGGTCGCCACCAGCCCCTGCTCGCTTCTCGCGTTCCTAGCCAGCTTGCTGCCAGCAGAGCTAGCTAGCTCGCCACCAGCAGAGCCAGCTAGCTCGCCACTGACAAAGCCGGCTGGCTGCTGCTGCTGCTGCTGCTTCTGCTGCTGCTGCTGCTGCTCGCTTCTCGCGTTCCTAGCCAGCTTGCTGCCAGCAGAGCTAGCTAGCTCGCCACCAGCAGAGCCAGCTAGCTCGCCACTACCACCACGGCCCCTGCAGCTGCTGCTGCCGCTGCTTCCCCTGCAGCCGCCACTGACGCCGCTGCCCTTGCAGCTGCCGCTGCTGCTGCTGCCCTAGCACCTGCCGCTGCCGCCGCTGCCCTTACAGGTGCTGCTGCCGCCGCTGCCCTTGCGGCCGCCCCTGCCACTGCTGCCCTTGCAGCTGCCGCTGCCGCCACTGCCCTAGCAGCCACCACTGCCACAGATACCCTTGTAGCTGCTGCTTCCGCCGCTGCCCTTGCAGCCGCCACTGCCCAAGCAGCTGCCACTGCCGCCACTGCCAAAGCTCACCGTGCAGCTGCTGCTGCCGCCGCTGCCCCTGCAGCCGCCACTGCCGCCGCTCTTGCCATTGCCGCGGCTCCTCCTGCTGCCGCCGCTCCTGCTGCAGCCGCTACTTCAGCTTCTCTTGCCGCTAGCAGCCGCTGCCACTACAGCTGCTGCTGCCGCCAGTCCCGCGGCTCGCCTGCAGCCACGCAGCCGCCGCTGCCACCGGCTCCCACTGTAGCACCTGTTCCTGCTGCCCCGGTAGCAGCTGCCACCACTGTCCCTGCTTCTGCCGCCTCCGTCTTCACGGCCGCAGTTGCCACCACAGCCGCTAGCATGACGTCGCCCAGGTTTGTGTGAACTCAGCCACTGACCACTGAGCTAAAAGGGCTTGTTAAGTAGCGGGTATGTGCGCCCATAACCCCCAAGGCACAGAGGCCTGTAGCCCTTCCCCAAACATCTCTAGGGCAACCCCGGTGGGTCTCTCGACACCCCCCTTGACGGGATAGGCGGAAGACACAGACGCCTTTGCAGCACTGGGACTGGGAATTGAACCCGAGTCATCCGACTCTGATACCATGTCAGAACTCGATCACTAACCACTGAGTCTAAAGGGCTTGCTAAGTAGCAGGTTACGGCTATGTGCACGCATAATTCCCCATGCATAGAGGCCTATGGTCCTTCCCCAAGGATCAACCCCAGCAAGTCTCTCGACAAGATTTGCCATGATGTAGTAACAAACACGTGAAAGACCATGTATTTCCATCATACCAACTCATTTGCATACTACAACTCTCTACATTTACAAGGCAGTCTTGAGCAAAATCAGGCTCAGGATCCAAAGTACCACCCTTCCACTGTTTCCCTCAAACTCAAACCATTCGAGGTGAAAGTGTTCCAAGTATTGTGGTTGATAATTCCGTGGTTAGAAGAGTATGCTACAAAGCTGCTGAATTTGCCAGATTTCAGCGAGCTTGTAACCTCCTGCAGCTGCTTCGCGAATCCAATAACCGCCCGCGACTCCGCTAGTGTACACTTCTTATTCGCGTTTTTCCACGCGAGTACTCGAGGCGATGTATTCGCCTGCATTTGCCCCATAAGGTCTGGTACACTCATAACCTCGTTGATACACTCGCTCGCATACGTCCCATTAGCAGGGAGCTGGTTACCAAGGAGGAGGGTATTGAAGTCGAAGAGCGAGTTGACGATGAAGACTTGCGATTTGATGAACTTGGTCGCATGCTGGGGGAAAAAGCATTTCCACTTGCTCGTCGTGTTTTGTGCTGCGAGCAAAACCAGACACACAGAGAAAGTTACTGGCCTTTAGCTTATAAAACAGTGTAAAAATCAGGGTGAATTCCATATGTAGTTGATTGTTGCATTTAAAGAAAAAAATCGACCATTAAACACACATCAAACACTAAAGGTTTCACCTCTGGCACATCTTGGGTTGCCAATGAAATCATGCAGTGCAGCCATCCGGATTACTTTCCTCTTGAACGTGTGCTTGTTCTTTTTGTCCAACGAATCTGGCAGCAGTGGGCAGGATGGAGGTGGTACGAGAAAGGATTATTGAAAACTCTCAAGAACGCCTCCTACAAGCAGAATTCAGCGACATGTCACAACTGGATTCAGTAGGAGCAGGAGCAGGAGTGAATTTGATAATAAGCTCAAGAAAAGGAAAGGGGTTGTGGGGTGGGGCTTCGGGGTGGGGGTTGGGGGTGACGGGTAGGGGTTGACAGATGGGGGCCAGCCTACCAAGGAAGAGCTTAGATATATGAATCACTTGGTGGCTAGAGCTGTGGTGAGGCATAACTACTAACTGAGGAAAGAATTCACTCACCAAGGAAGAAGCCCGAGTCCATGAGGCACTTGGTGGTTTTGGCGGACGGCACGAGGGCGGGCAGCTGGTCGCACAGAGTGACCACCGCCTCGGCGCCCGCCGACACCCCCGACAGCAGCACCTGGGAGGCGTTCTTCAGCCCCCGCCGGTCGGTGACATCTGGAAGGAATACAAGTGAGGAAGAGAAACAGGAGGACAAGTGAGGCTCTGGTAAGCTTGCTCCAGCTGGCACCCCAGACAGCAGCACCCAAGAGGTTGGAAACATACATTGGAAAGGAGGAAAGGACTATTTGTGTATGCCCTAACGCCACGAGTGACCATAAGCATTGAGCAGGGCAAGAGGTGGAGATTTTCATAATCGTGTGTAAGTGCACATCGAAGAAAAGGTAGCGACGCTTAATCTTGTGATGATATTTGCAGCACCGATTTGAATTGACACTTATCAAAGTTATAATTGCATTTGCGTGCACCTTGAAGGCTGTTTGTGATTGTAACGACTGCAGTAATTGTGCCGAAAGGAACAAGCGAAGTTTTGGAAGACCTGGCAGTTGGTAACAAGCGAGATGCTGCACTGTACTCTACGAAACGTGTTTCTCAAACCATCCGCGTTATTGGTAACTCACCTGTGAGAACAGCTTTGATGATATTCCAACCAGCCAAAAACACGCCGTCAGTTCCGCTCACGTTCTTGAACCCCGCGCGGCCCGCGAATCCCCCGCCATCGCAGTACACGGGCATCACTAAGTTCCAGTTGTAAAACCGCGGGTTTTCCGACACATTCGCGCTTAGAATCCCCCGGTATCCCCACAAGGCCTGCAGCGGAAACGCGGGGAGGGGAGCAGCGGAAACGCGGGGAGTGGAGTAGCGGAGTTTCGACTCAAGTCTACTCACTCGGGAGCGTACTACACCACAGGAGTACAAGTAGTCATTGCATGTCGAAGGCTCGCGGGCACCACAGGAGTGAAACCGCGGGTTCGCGCTTAGAATCCCGCGATATCCCCAGGGTGAGAATTTCTCACAACTTTCGTGATTTGCGTATTTGTAGGCTTCGTGCTGCTTAGGATCCACGATTTGAGGTATTACAGAATAGAGATGACATCATGGATTTTGAATCGGTGGGGGGAGGGGGGGAGATGAGAAAGGGCCTGGGAGAAAGGGAGGGAGAAAGAAGAAAGGGAGGGAGAAAGGGAGGGAGGCAGGCCTGGAAGAAGTAGGTAGAAAGGGCCTGGGTGGGTGACGTTTCTGAAAGGGTTGGTGGCTTGCAGTAGCTGCATAGGTTTTGATTGGTGCTTGCTGTTCAAACCGCACAGGGAAGGAATTCAGAAGCTTACGTAGGGTTCGTGGATTGCAGACTCGGCTTTGTCGAGCCGTACTAGTTGCTCTGCGTGGCGCGCAGCTTGGTCACAGGGAGGGGGGGACTAAAAGCTTACGTTGTTGAAAGGGTTGGTGGCCTGCAATGCCGGTTTCGTCGAGCCGTAGTTGCTCTGCGTGGCGCGCCACCTGCACTCTTCGGGCGTTGTGCACCACCCGCCGTAGGGCAGGAAGACGTGCCACGAGTCGCTACCCTTACCGGAGCCTGGCCGAAAGTAGTACCCTGGAGGACTGACGGATCAAGTGAACGCGGCAAATAAGGGAAGAAGGGGAAACAGGGGATTGGGGCATAGGGGAAATTGACGAGGGAAGGAAAGAAAGAAACCATCGCGTTTCGTGGAGCCGTAGTTGCTCTGCACGGCGCGCCACTGGCACTCTTGGGGCGTGGTGCGCCACCCGCCGAAGGAAGGTGTGCCACGAGTCGCTGCCCTTACCGGAGCCCGGCCGAAAGTAGTAGCATGGAGGACTGAGGGGACGAGTAAACGGGGCAGAGAGGGGAAATTGGAAAAGATCAGAAAGAGATAGGGAAGCGATAGTGAAGGCCGAAAATGGCTTGACGATTCAGCCGCACCAACGGGATTTGCTCTTTCGCGCGTATCGTGCACTTTTTCGGCACCAGACGCCGTACCCTAGTACCCTAGTAGACGGGCAAGACGGGCAGAAGGATGTGCGACGAGTAAGCCGCAGCCTGGCCGGAAATAGTATTTTGGCAGAATGAGGGACATCGATTAAAGAGTAGAAAGATGTGCGACGAATAGCCGAGGCATGGACGTAATTATTACCCTGGCGATCTGACGGATCGGATTTAGGGGCCAAGCGGTAGCGGGGACGACAGAGGAAGAAGAAGAGCGAAGCGTTTCTGGATCTGACGGATCGCATCTTGATCAGATGAAGGATTTCTGGATTGCATGTCGGTCGAGTCAGCAAACGTTTCATTCGCGGTGCGCGTGTCTGGCTCTGCGATAAGGTCTGTCTTGCTTTGCCATCGATCCATGTGATGAGGTAGCGCAAACAAATTTTGCTCCAAATCGGTTAATCGCTCACCTGCCGTCGAGGCATTTCGCGCCGAATCGGTTTCTGGGCAGCAGAGTAAAGGTCAGGCCGGTTTTAGCTGAAACAACCGGCGCTGACATTGGCTTCCCTACTTCTCCCGCTGCAGGTTCGAGTAATGCGAGAAACAGTGCGAGAAGCGCCACGACGGTAACGGGATGGAGAAAACTAGAGGTCGTCATCTTGGCGCTGCTTTTTTATGAATCGATGGCGAGAAGCTGCACTGATGAGGATGTCGCACCAAGCTTTTACGAAAAGCTGGGGTCTCACAGGGAAGTCTTGACCCGGATGTTCAGCTACCTAGTAGTGTCGTGTCCCGAGAATGTTTGCGAGGTATCGGGAGTGATGACGGGGTGGATGCTCCTACCTAGACACAACAAAAATTTCGACGGTGTGTGGGTGCTATCCGGCTGAGTAGATGGATTCCCCCGTTCAGTCGTTGCCAACGACTGTGGCTGGAATGTAGGTTATCATTCGTGCGAGCCTGAGGGCACTGCTGGCCACGATGGGTATCGTTCATGCCAAACACGTACAGGCGTTGCACTCCTGCCGCCTAGTCTTCTACGAGTTCAGTCAAGCGCAAAATGTTATATGGGTGCAGGCAGAAGCCTACATCAATGCACATGCCTTGGTTCGTTATTTTGCGCCAGAACCACACAGATGGCGTGAATTTGGGAGGGACGCGAGCTTCGTTTGGAGCACGAACTCTCACGGTTGTGGCATCGCAGGAATTGGAATTGGAGTTGGGAATCGAGCCGCATCCACGGTTTGAGAGCCGATTCGCGTGTGCAAATGTCGGTTTCACGTACAGGCATTGGGGTCGAGGGGATGTGGTGTGGGGGGAGGGGATGGCGGGCACACAGGGCGCAGTGATGTGAAGTCCAGATTCCAGCGAGACGCGGCGCCAAGGGTTGAGGCTGGCCACGTACAGCCAATCACAAGGTTTTGACGGCAAAACAATCAGATAAAGATGCTGACTGTATATATCCATGTGTAAAAACATGAAGCTCAAGGGAAATTGTAAGTCCATTCTTTCTACACTATTTACAGTTGACATGGTGTTATGAATTAATCAGAGTATATCAGGTAGTGTAATAAAGGAGTCGTGATTCCAGAGTATCGATACAAATGAGGGCCTAGGCATTTATAGGCACGAACAGAGCTAGCCGAGAACCATGTGAACAGGTTGGGGCGATTCGGTTGGCGAAAGCCACGGAAGCGCTGCGCGTTGAGGTTTGGGTTCGCGAAGTGGTTTGGGACCGAAGAAGTTGGCCGAGCCTGGACTTCCGAGAGTCGAGGGCGTACACCCTGTAGTCGAGCCCAGTAATAAAAAGGGAATTTCCTTACACCACCCCCCCCCCTTCCGGGATGAGACTACCCACCTCCGGGACACGTCGTCGGTGTAATTAGTCCCGGAAGACTTTGTGTTCGCCGAGCATAGTTGCGGGGACCCAAAGGACGTCGTCAACCCAGCGTACAAGGAAATCAACGGCTGTCGTATCTCGACGGCCGCGTACGCGATGAGCGAGAATCTTCGATGGCTCGGTCATCGGCTCAGGAACTGGGTGTCAACTTATACATATATTCTTATGGAGAAGTTATAGGCTAGATAAGGTATGTTCTTAGTGGGTACAACCTAAACGCTATATCTCCCCTGTTCTCCCTTCTTCTAATCATTCATTCTAATTTTAACATGGTATCACGAATAGGTAGGTCCACCCACCAGCTTCCGCCCCCTGCCGCCACCTACCAGACCCTTGCGCCCCTACGGCCCCGACGCGACCCTAGCAGGTCTAGTCCTCGGCCTCCCTTCGTCGCTCCCTGCTCTCCCTCCCTCGCCTCCGCCGACGTGCACGCCCTGCATCGAGGGTCGGCTGCGCCGTGCTCCTCACTCCTCCTCACTTCGCCCTGCCACTGCACCCCTTCAGACCCTGCACTTGGATGTCTGGGACCCAGCCCCTGTCCCTAGACTGCGTCGCGAGCGCTACTTTCTGGTGCTCGTTGACGACTTCACGCGCTACACCACGGTGTTTCCCCTGGAGCGGAAGGCCAACGTGTCTGACATCCTTATCCCGTGGCTCGTCGCTGCGCGCCTCTACCGCGGTCTCCCTGTGCTGTGTCTCCACTCCGACCGTGGCAGCGAGCTCGCCTCTGGTCAGCTGGGTCAGTTCTGTCGTGCGGAGGGTATCACCCAGACGTACACCCTAACGGACTCCCCGCAGCAGAATGGGGTCGCTGAGCAACGCATCGGTTTGGTCATGGAGGTGGCTCGTACCTCCATGATCCATGCCGGTGCACCCCATTTTCTGTGGCCGTTCGCCATTCGCTACGCCGCTCACCAGCTTAACCTCTAGCCTCACTCCCAGTGGCCGCAAGTTTCGCCGACCCTTCTTTGGACCGGGTTCCCTGGTGACGCGTCTGCGTTCCATGTCTGGGGCTGCCTTGCTCACGTTCGTGCCTCCGGCACGGACAAGCTCACTGCCCGCACCATCCCCTGTGTCTTCCTCGGTCTCCCCTAGACTCCTGCTGACTGACACTTCTACCACCCGTCGTCTCACCGCTTTCTTCACTCCCGTGACGTCACTTTCGACGAGTCTGTCTCCTTTTTCCACCGCTTTCCTCACCGAGGTCTCCCGGTTTCCCCTCCCCTGTTTCTCGCTCCCACTCCCCCGGTCGCCCCTGCTCCCCTCCCTCCCCGTCCTTCTCCGTCCGGTGTGTCTCACGTTACTCCTCCCCCGTCGGTTGTCACGGTCGAGAAGTCGGCTGACTCCGGTGGCCCCGTAGCGCATTTTGTGCCGCATGTCCCTCCCCCGGTGTCTCCTCCTCCCTTGTCGCAGTCGCCGCAGCAGCCGCCGCTGTCACCGCTGCCGCAGCCGCAGCCGTCGTCGCAGCCGCAGCCGTTCGTGGACTCAGGGGTGCTGGAGTTGGAGAGGGTGCTAGTCCTGGGGCTCCTGTCGTGACTTGTCCCGGCGGGCTCGGGGGTGGCACCGGCGCTGGAGAGGTTTCGCGTTCTGCGGGTGCTGGCGTGGAGTGTACCGGAGGTAGCAGTGGTGCATCTAGTGGTCCAGGTGTCGGCGTTCAGCAGCAGCAGCAGTCGCCGCCGGTGTCCGCCCTTCGCCTACTCGGCCTTCCCTCCCCTGACCGCTCACCTGCGCCTCCCTCGCCGTCTCCCCCTCTTCCTGTTCACGGTCCTCTGTTTCCTCCGCTAGACTCGTCCCTGGCTCGTTTCCCCTCTTGTTCCCCGCTTGTTACTCCTCCTGACCCGATGCCTCCGTCTCACGTCTGGTCCCGCCGTCCCTCTCGTGCTCGTCTTGTCTCTCATGTTCAGCGTTCTCACCCTATGTTGCTTCGTTCCCATGCGTCCCGTCCTCCCCTCCTGCCTTCGCCTCCTCCGTCATCACTGACTGTCGCACCTCCCCCTCTGTCTGACTACCTTCGTGCTGCTCGTCCTCTTGTTCCTCGGGTCCTTGCCTCCCTCGTTACCGATCCGTCTGTTCCTGTCTTCAGTCTTGACGCTCTTGTCGCTGCTGTCGCTGAGTTTCCCTCTACTCACCGCCTTGTCTTCGTTACCGCTCTGGTCTCTGACCCTGTCTGTCCTCCGTCCGTCAAGGGTGCTCCTGCCCTCAGCAGTGACGTCTTGGAGGACCGACAGTATGAGCTTGCTCCACATCTCTGTTTGATGCTACTAGTCCCTGAGGGTGACCCGGACGCCTTTGACATCCCGACCCCTCGCACCTATGCTGAGGCGACCTCGGGACCCGGGGCCTCTCAGTGGATAGATGCCATGGAGCATGCGATGACATCTTGGAGGGCTACCCGCACCTACGTCGACGCAGTTCCCCCACTTGGGGTGAACGTAGTCGATGGCCGGTGGCTCTTCAAGGTGAAGCGCCCCCCTGGAGAGCCGCCTATGTTCAAGGCGCGCTACGTGGCTAGAGGCTTCAGTCAGCGAGAGGGGGTGGACTTCTTTCAGACCTTCGCCCCGACCCTGAAGATGACTACTCTTCGGGGGCTGCTACACATAGCAGCACAGCGTGACTACGAGCTTCACTCCCTCGATTTCTCCACTCCTTTCCTTCAGGGCAGCCTACACGAGCAGGTCTACCTGCGCCACCCTCATGGCTTCACCGGTACCTTCCCTCATGGGACCCAGTGGCTCCTGTGGCGCCCCGTCTACGGCATGCGACAGGCACCCCATGAGTAGCACGACACGCTGCATGCTACGCTAGCTGACCTGCAGTTCTTTCCGTCCTCTGCTTTCCCTTCACTCTTCGTTCGTGCTGGCTAGACTCTGTTCTACATCCTGGTCTACGTAGACGACCTGGTCTTCACTACAGCAGACAGAGATGCACTGGCCTCCGTGAAGGCTGAACTGCTGAGGCGACACACCTGCACTGACCTGGAAGAGCTGCGCTGCTACCTTGGCCTGCAGATCTCCAGGGACAGAGCAGCGCGCACCATCACTCCTACACAGTCACACTTGGTGCGCTAGGTCCTTCAGAGGTTCGGTCTTCAGTTCTCCTCCGCACAGCCCACACCTCTGCCAGTAGACCATAGGCTCTCAACTCCAGTTCCGGAGGAGTCAACAGAGCCTAGTGGTCCTTACGTAGAGCTGGTGGGTTGCCTCATATACGTGATGACTTGCACTCGTCCAGATCTCACATACCCTCTCAGAATCCTAGCCCACTTTGTGGCCACAGGCAGACACAGACCACAGCACGGGTTGGTCGCTAAGAGGGTTTTGCGTTATCCTGCAAGTACATCTGGCATGGGGCTAGTGCTGGGAGGACACACGCCAGTGGTCACATAGACGCTTCGTGGGCAAACGACTCTGAGACCCTTCCGGTCTTCCCAGGGCTACTACTTCTGCCTTGGTTCTGGTGCCATCTCGTGCAGGTCCACTCGCTCCTCGTCTATTGCTCAGTCTAGCTACGAGGCTGAGATCTACGCCGGTGCCATGGTGGCACAGGAGCTCCGCCGGCTGACCTTCTTGCTTGCCGACTTAGGTGAGCGGCCTAGCTCTGCCCCGGTTCTGTACGCTGACAACATGGCCATGATCCTCCTGTGTCAGGAGCCTCGACTTGAGGGCAGAGCGAAGCACATCCAGCTGTGGTACTTCCTCCTGCGCGTGCTTCACCAGCGTCGCCAGGCTCGCGTAGTACACTTGGCCTCGGGTGCCAACACAGCTGATATCTTTACTAAGGCGCTTCTGCCTAGAGATCATCAGCGGCAGTGCTTGTAGTTAGGTCTAGTCCCTGTTGACTCTCACTTGCTAGGCCCTTGATTGTGTACTCTTTTCCATTTTTGCCTTGCAGACTGGCCTTGTGGCTTTTCCTTTAGTGGCTGGACTAGTAGTGCCGCCCTTGTGTGCTTTGTCTTGCTTGTTCTCTTGCTGATTGGTCTTCGGGCCCTGCCTCAGAGGTTGGACTAGTAGTGCCACCCTAAGCTGCGTGTTTCTTGCTCTGCACTACCCCTTATCTAGCTTAGGGGGTGTGTCAACTTATACATATATTGTTATGTATAAGTTATAGGCTAGATAGGGTATGTTCTTAGTGGGTACAATCCAAACGCTATATCTCCTCTGTTCTCCCTTGTTCGAATAATTCTTTCTAGTTTTAACCCTGGGTTGACCGTAGGATTGATGTGTTGACGGTCGAGATTAGTTGTATTCGGGACGAACGATCGCAGGAGACTGACGTGAAATGAATCGTGAATTTGCCAGTCGACAGGCAATCCAGCAGGGCGGTGACTGGTGTCACCATGCAAATAATGCGGAATGGGCCACAAAATCTGGGTCGTAGTTTATTTCGAAGGGGAATTCCCAAATTTCTGGTGTCGAGCAGGACCAATTGCCCAGGGGCGATAGTTAAGTCTCGGCGTCATCGGTTAGCTTGCTGCTTAGCCCGTTGGTTGGCTTTGAGGATGGCATCGGCTGCTTTTTGCAGAGTTTGTTAGAGATTTTCGACGATCTGCTGGGATCTCGGTGCCGGATTTTCTATCGGTGGCGATAGATGGGTTGTCGCGTCTATCCTGTAATTGAGAAAAAACGGGGACTGAGTAGTCAGGGCTGATGGGGCGTTGTTGTACGCGAACTCGATCAAGGGAAGGGAATCTTCCCATTGGGTCGGGTCTGTGCACGTCTTGCGAATCAACTGCTCCATCGTCTGATTGGCGCGCTCAGTCTGGCCATCTGATTGCGGGTGGTATGCCGTGAACAAATGCAGACGTATGCCATACTGCTGCCAGGTTTTTCTCCAGAAGTTGGACGTGAACCGAGGGACGCGATCGCTGATGATTGCCGAAGGAATGTTGTGTAGCCGCACGATGTTCGCGAGGAACTGTTTCGCTATCTGCTCGGCAGTGATTGTCGTCTTGCAGGCGGCGAAATGGGCCATCTTGATCAACTGGTCCACGATGACGCGAATCGCATCGTTACCGCTTGAACCAGCTGGCAGGCCAGTGACGAAATCCATCGTCACTTGTTGCCAGGGTCGGCTGGGTGGCTCGAGCGGCTGCAGCAATCCCGAAGGTCAAAGTTGTGAAGACTTCATGCGTTAACACGTGGCGCAGGAGGTGACATACTGCTGCACGTCTGTCTGTAACTCAGGCCAGTAATAATTACGGCTCAGTAATTTGGCAGTTTTGTCGATGCCGTAGTGACCCGAGAAATTCGAGTCATGTGCCTCCTGTATCAGTAGCTCACGTAGGGTGCGGTAGGCGGGAACCCAAATCCGATTGGTACCGGATTTTAGATGATAGGCCCCTTGCTTGACCGTCAGTTGGGGATGACTGTTAGTGGTGAAGAAGGGATCGGTACTATATCCGTGGGTGAATAGGCCAGTTAGCAGCAGATTAGTTTGGGTAATTAGGACTGCGGCGGTGTGGATTGAAGGGCGGGTCAGTGCGTCGGCGATGTTGCTAACCCCCCGTTTGTAGGTGACACTGTAGTGGAAGTTCGACTCGAGGTAATCGAGCCAGCGAATCTGTCGAGGATTTAGTGTCGGTTGGGCGCGGATGAACTGTAGCAATTTGTGGTCTGTTCGGACCGTCACGTCAGCGCCCGTCAGGTAGCAGCGCCAGACCTTGAAAGCATGCACGATGGCGAGTAACTCCTTGTCGTGGACAGGATAATTTCGCTCGGCCGGGTTCAGCTTTCGTGACTCATAGGCGATGGGTTGAAGTCCTTTGCCGAAGTCCTGTAACAGTACTGCGCCAACAGCTAGGTTGCTAGCGTCGGTGATGAGCTCGAACGGACGGTGAGGATCTGCAATTCGAAGAACCGGAGGTGTAGTCAGGAAAAGTTTGAGCTGGTCGAACGCAGCCTGCTGCTCTCCCCCCCACTCATAAAAGGTGCCTTTCTTTAGGAGATCCGTAAAAGGGGAGGTTACCCCCACCATGTTCGGGATGAACCGGCGAACGTAATTTACAAACCCCAGGAAACTTTGAAGTTCGCGGAGAGTAGCCGGCGGCTTCCAGTCTTGTATGGTCGCGATCTTCTTAGGGTCGATTTTAACACCATCGATGGAAATGACGTGGCCCAAAAACTCTAGTTCGTGTTTTAGAAACTTGCCCTTAGAGCCCTTGGTGATGAGTCGGTTCTGCTGAAGGAGAGAGAAAACTGCTTCCAAATCCTTCAAAAGTTGTTCCCGGGTAGTGCTGTAGATCAGGATGTCGTCGAGGTACACGATGACGCATTTATCCAGCAGCGGCTGAAAAACTTCGTTCATGGTCAACTGGAACGTCGAAGGTGCGTTTGTTAAGCCAAATGGCATAACCGTGTATTCGTAACTCCCGTATCGGGTCCGAAACGCTGTCTTGTAGCGGTCTGCTTCGGTCACGCGGATTTGATGGTAAGCGCCTCGCACGTCAATTTTCGAAAAGAACTTGGCTCCACGAAGTTGGTCGATGAGTTTGTCGGCACGGGGGATTGCATAGCGGGACTTGATGGTAACCCGATTCAAGGCGCGGTAGTCGATGCACATGCGTAGACCGCCATCTTTCTTCGGGGTGAACAGGATCGGAGCTGCGAACGGGGAAGTGCTGGGGCGAACGAAACCTTTCTCGAGCAGGTAGTCCAGCTGGCATCGAAGTTCATCTAGCTCTAGCTGAGTCAGCCTCCACTGAGTCCGAATAGTCAGTTGCGCGCCGGGCTCCAACTCGATTTTGTGGTCGTGGTCCCACTCAGATGGCAAACCTGTCGGGAGGATGTCTGGAAAAATGTCGGCGTGCTGGCGAATCAATGTTGCCAAATCGTTCGGAACAGCTGCGCAGAGTTTGTCGATGTCGGCTGGTGCATCGACAGCCGTGGATGCGATCCATCGGACAGTGTACATTTGCGCCCCGCGAATCATAGCTCGCTTGATGGTAACCGCGTTGACCGTCGATGTCGTGGAATCTTGACTGCTCCACTTCGGAAGTCATCACCACTCGCCACTCCATTTGATGCGACAGTCAATCGTCCGCCAGTCAATGCTCGGGTTGTATTCGCGCAGCCAATTGCGTCCCAGCAGCATATCACAACCGTCCAAAGTTGTCGCCAACATCTTTGTCGTGAAGCTGAAATTTTCGCCGCATGTTACTCGCTCGTGAGATACTGGCTCCCGAATTGCCAGTGGTATGCCGTCGACCAATCTCGCGTCGATTTCCGGCATGCAGCGCTCCAGTTGCAATCGCAGTTATTTCGCCTTCGTCACATCCATCAAACAGTGGCTCGCCCCACCATCAACAAATATTCTAATGCGGGTGTCGCCAACTCTCCCTTCAACCAGCACAAGGTGATCAACCGGTTCACCCCCCTTATTCAGCCAGGAATGGTCGATAGCTCGAATTGACACTATAACATGGTGGGGGTGGTGGCGTTTGGGCGACGCAATCAAGTCAGTAGGTGGCCCATCTGCTACTGACGATCTCCATTTCCCGACTGCTTCTTGTCGTTAGGTAAGTTCTTCTTCAGCTGCGGGCAGTCCCTCACTATGTGACCCAGCTGGTTGCAGTGGAAGCAGTTCCCCGAAAATACTCGGGCTGCAAACACGTCCACGCCGTTGATTGATGCGTGTTAGGGCTGGCCTCGAAAGCGATTTCCTTCCCGGAAACCCGCTCTCGTGAGTCCACGTCGTGCATCCAGCGCGTCTGCGATTCGAACGATCTCGTTGAAAGTCGTCGGGGCTCGCAGGATGATCTCTTGCTGAATCTCCGGCTTGAGTTCACCCACGTAGCGATCAATTTTCTCGTCCTCGCTGATCCCTTTGATTTGGTCGCAGATTGCAAGAAACGATGCCGTGTATTCTTGGACAGAGCCCAACTATCTCCACATCCGAAGCTTTGTGCGAGCATTTTTGCGCATGGATATGTGCTCGAATCTGCCCTTCAACGCTTCACCCCACGCTTTCCACGTGCGGATCGTGGCCGATCCAAAGATAGGTTCTGCCTTCGCCGTTGATGAACTCATCTCCCCATCTGCCGCCCGTTGATTCCTTGCCGGAGCTCCTCCCTCGTCGAGATGCATGCGCCACCAGTCGAGTGCCGGTCCCCTCAGCAACGACACAGCCAAGTTGACACGTGAAGCATTGTCATTAATACTTGCTGCCGTGGAGAAGATTTCCATGGCGAACAGCCACCCGCTCACTGTAGTTGTCCTGTCGGTCGGGTTGAACGGTGGGGGCATCGGACGCTTGATTTTAATGGCCGCCCGCGGCACGCTGTGGACTTCTTCAACTGCTTCAGGTGTCACGGACGCCCTCGCTTCGCTCGTAGCATCTTCGTCTCGGGTAACAGGCCGCCCCTGACGCGTTTCACCCCGCGTTTGGCAAAGCGACGAGTTTTCGTTGCGCAGCGTCTGAACTTCGCTTCCCAGCGACTCGAACTTGTCCGCGAGTTGTTGAAGCTGGGCCTGCAGTGTCATCACTGTAGCCGCCCTGGCTTGCAACTCGTCAAACTCCTCGAGTCACGTTCCTAACATTACGACGGGCAGAGGTTTCCGGCGTGCTAGTCATGCTGGAAATTTTACCTGACAGATCTGAGGGTGCACATGCTTTAGTTGGAGGAGCTTTAACGAGCTTGCCTACCAACCGCTGGCCAACCCTCTATTCTGTCGGGTCCTCTCCCGATATAATCGGACTACTCTGCGGAAGACTAAGCGGGCAGGAACGGGGCTCTGATACCAGGTGTTATGAATTAATCAGAGTACTATCAGGTAGTGTAATAAAGGAGTCGTGATTCCAGAGTGTCGATACAAATGAGGGCCTAGGCATTTATAGGCACGAATAGAGCTAGCCGAGAACCACGCGAACAGGTTGGGGCAATTCGGTTGGCGAAAGCCACGGAAGCGCTGCGCGTCAAGGTTTGGGACCGAAGAAGTTGGCCGAGCCTGGACTTCCGAGAGTCGAGGGCGTACGCGCTGTAGTCGAGCCCAGTGAGGAAAAGGGAATTTCCTTACACATGGGCTCCATTACGTCGTGTCTCTAGTAAAACACTCCATCGTTCACCCATGCTTATGGGTCAAAGTTTCTAGTTCCACATGGCAGCATAGCTCCAAACTCATTACAACTGAACAATTGAGAACAGCTAGCACACAAGATATCATTCTCATGAATTGAAGTACCATTCAGCTACGACGTCACGCAAAACCTTGCCATTCTCTTTCATGCCAACCCACGAACTATCCACCATGATTCCATGCTTGCTAGACCAAGCAAGGAAAGCCTTCAGCTTCTTATCCTCCATAGCACCAACAACCGTCCACATTTTCTGCGCATAAGCAAGCACCGCCCGTGTAGCTGAGAGCGTGCACTTTTTATTCGAGTTTTTCCAAGCAAGCTCGTTAGGTGGCGTGCTTGGAATCGACCGCCTAAGGCTAGGCATAGCCATTATTTCACTTAGACATTGGTAAGTGAAGGTGTTGTTACTCTCCGGTAACTGGTTACCAAGATTCAGGGCCTTGCCGTCGAACAGAGAGTTGACGACGAAGAATGGCGATCGCACGAATGGGAGGGAGTGTTCTGGGAAGAAGCACTTCCACTTCTTGGTTTGATTGGTGGCTGTTGGAACAAATTGGGAGAATGCGTGGGGTGGGATGGGATGTAGAAGGGTTGATGATGAAGGGTGATCAAAGGGAATGAGAGGGAGAGCTCTGGGAAGAAACAGCACCACCTTTTGATTTCGTTCTTGGCTGTCAGGACAGAGGGAGTGTGTGCTGGACGAATTTTGCCCTGGTAAGTTGGCCAGGAATGGAAGATAAAGGCAAAAAGGATGAAAGCATGGCAATACTGGATGGGAAACTGTCGGCATAAGAGTGAATTGCGAAATAATATAAGGAGAGGCACTCAATCCCATATGCACGTGCCAGAGAAAACATTGGCACCAGCTCACTGCTGCCTGTCAGCCAACTCACATGCCACGTCCTCACCCACTCGTGACTTCCAGCCACTTCAGCACGTTTTCACTCACCTCTGCAGCATCGAGGGTTGCCAACGAAATCATGCAGCTCTGCCAGCAGCTGGATCCTTTTGCCACGTCAGCAACCCAGCACACTCACCTCTGCCACGTCAGCAATTCACCTCACTCACCTCTGCTGCATCGGGGGTTGCCGACAAAAACATGCAGCCCTGCCAGCAGCTGGATCCTCTTGCGAAACGCCGACCGCTTGTTCATGTCCAACGCATCTGCACAGGGGCCAGAGATTCAAACAGAGTCAACCAGAGTCAAGCAGAGCTTGCTCACGCCCAACATGTCTGTTTAAAGGCCACAGACTCAGCCAACAGACATTTTCCAGGGTCAAACAGAGTAAAAAGAGGGAATCAACTCACCATCCATGAGGCGCTTGGTGGTTGAAGGGAAGAAGGTGGGGGGATGGTGGGGAGGGGAGAGGGGGGAAGGGGGGATCAACTCACCAAGAAAGAAGCCCGAGTCCATGAGGCACTTGGTGGTTTTGGCGGAGGGCACGAGGGCGGGCAGCTGGTCGCACAGAGTGACCACCGCCTCAGCGCCCGCCGACACCCCCGACAACAGCACCTGGGAGGCGGTTTTCAGCCCCTTGTAGTCTGTCACGTCTTCACAGATTTACAATCGGCCAATAGAGAATTTTGGGATATATTGGATCAGGTACGATTAGGGTCTGCATAATAATGCTGGTTAAAGTGCTCCATGCGTTGTTTATGAAAACTAAAGAGACACTTGAGAAAGCATGAGGGTCTTGTTGATTTGGAATTCTGATATGAATGTAACATTGTTGACAGCATCCGTGTTTACCGAACACGAGAGTGTAGTAACCCACCTGTGAGAACAGCTTTGATGATTTTCCAACCGTCCAGATACACGCCTTCAGTTTCGCTCACATTCTTGAACCCCGCGCGGCCTGCGAATCCCCCGCCGTCGCAGTAAATCGGGACCACGAGATTCCAATTGTAGAAGCGAGGATTGGTGACGGGATTTATGCTCAGAATTCCCATGTAACCCCAATTCGCCTGCAGGTGCAAAAGTAACATGCGTAAGAAATAACATGTGCGTGTCCTCCTAACGGACGGAGGGAGGTAGGGTGGAACGAAGTGTGGAAATAGCTCGTCTTTCAGATTTTGCGTGTAAAACTTGAGCATGAGGAACGTGGAGGGGAACGGGCGGGGATTTGGAACATGATGGAAAATTAGACATGAACTTCAGTAAGCCAATGGCTGAGTTCTACAGGCATTTGACGTTGACGTCGACGTCGACATTGAGAAGCTCCGCAAGCGACTTCGAGAGCACTGGTTACCACTCAAACCAGGTGCACTTTCCAAACCTCGCTTGGAAGCCACGCGGCCAAATTGTGGAAAGCGCAAGCGAAAGGAGAGAGGAGAGATTTTCAAATTTGCGCAACAAAAACCTGCTGCCCCAGGGCAGCTGGTCGAAAGAGTGGAGCTGTTAGAAGTCATACGACTCTCTTTGGCGATGGGTTTTTTTAGCTGCGGTTGTTTCGCAGGGCAGGCCCAAGTTCGAGAGGTGGGGTAAAGTGGTGGCACTGGTTTTTTTGGGGTGTGGAGGCCTAGTACACCCTTGCGGCTGATGTTACGCCACACGCAAGGTGAACTCCGCGATTGATCGAACGTCAGCATTGTATCAAGTTTGCGTCAGATTTGCCAGGGAGCGAAGCGGGGGGGGGTGTTTCCCTGACGTAGATGTCATCTGTACGGGACCACTACTCTTTCATCACTCACGAATTTCCACGGGTTCTGGTTTTGCAAATCCGCGTTAGAAGACCCGAGCCACGTCAGGCTGCGTTCCTGGCACTTCTCCAGCGTGTAGCACCACCCGCCGTACTGCAAGTGTACGTGCCACGAGCTGCTGCCGCTGCCGAAGCCCGGGCGGAAAAAGTACCCTGGGGGACTGAGGATGGCGAAAGGGCGGAAAAAAGGCACGGGGAAGGAGACACGGGGAATGGGTGGCGTATCGAGGGGGCGGGGCCGAAGAAAGGTGAGGGACAGAGAGAGGCGGAGAAGCAACCTTGCGGACAGTGAAGGGCGCGGATGGACTCGATAATCGGGAGGACGGGGGGAATTAAGCCGGGGATTGGCGGAGCGAGGGATAGGGAGGCGGAAAAAGTACCCCGGCGGACAGTGAGGGGCGCGGAAGGACTTGATGATCGAATGGGACGGTTGCGGGTGCTTGTGCCAAGAAAACATCCCCCGAAGAGAACATCCCCCCCCCACCCTGTCCAGCTCATGACGTTTTCGCGATTTACAAGCTACGAAGTTACCTGCCGTCCAGGCATTTCGCGCCGTATCAGTTGTTGGGCCGACGCAAAGGCCTTTAGCTGATGCCCCGATCCTCACGCCTATAAACACCACAGAGGCCATTCACAAGCACCAAGTTGCTTACCTGCCGTCCAGGCATTTCGCGCCGTATCGGTTGTTGGGCAGCAGCGTCAGCGTCAGTCCGGTTCTTGAGGCGCCTCAAAAACGATTTTTGAGGCGCCTCAAAAACTAAGTTGCTTACCTGCCGTCCAGGCATTTCGCGCCGTATCGGTTGTTGGGCAGCAGCGTCAGCGTCAGTCCGGTTCCGGCGGCAACGACAGGTCCCGGGATGGATTCCGTCGGCTTTTTCTTCCCCTTCTTACGAGCCGCGTCAGCGCCGAGGCTCGCTGCGCTTAGACATACCACAGTCAACAAGAGTAGTGATCTAATTCTTCTAAAAGGTCGCGACACTGGCAGTCGTCTTGATATCATGTCGACTGTCTTTTTCCTTCCGTCGAAGTATTGACTGGAAAAAAAACAATGTTCTTAAGATTCTGGTTGGGCGATGGTCTGTCCCATCAACTGAAAGAGAGGACTACGCTAGATCGCCTCGTACCGTCACGAGTATTTGGTCATTCCAGGCTTGGACACATCGTACAGTCACGAGTATTTGGTCATTCCAGGCTTGGACACATCGTACGGTCACGAGTATTTGGTCATTCCAGGCTTGGACACATCGTACGGTCACGAGTATTTGGTCATTCCAGGCTTGGACACATCGTACGGTCACGAGTATTTGGTCATTCCAGGCTTGGACACATCTTACAGTCCTCGGCGTTTCGGCATCCACTTGACGACCGCAGGCGACTTAATTAAATATCGTACAACGCTAAGCGACAGGAGATGCTACGCGACTGGCGATGCTAAGCGACTGGCGATGCCAAGCGGCTGGTGATTATAAGCGGCTGGCGTCGCTAAGTGACTGGCTGTGCCAAGCGACCGGCGATAATTAGCGGCTGGCGACGCTAAGCGACCGGCAATGCTTAGCGACTGGCGATGTCAAGCGACCGGCGATGTTTAGCCATCGGCGAAGATAAACGATGGCGATGATAAGCGGCTGCGCAGTGTCTAAGAGAGGTCTTAGTCGAAGACTGGCTAGAAGCCACTGTCTAAGCTAATCATGACAAGGGGCAGCTGAGAAGGACTGAGAAGAGGTATATGCATTGCATGGCCATCTACTAGGTTGGAATTGCTCCATGGCTCACGTCGTAACGGGGCTCACGTCACGTACTAGCACCAGGCTGAAGAGACGGAAATCGGGGCGTACGCAGAGAACTGTTACCGTACAAGTACCCGAGCAATAGCGAGCTTGCAACTGAAGAACAGCACCCCTAACCTAACCAATCCCCTTCTCAGTGCTTGGTTTGGGGGACTACAGGGAGGTCAGCACAGTGCGCTGCGTCTGCCTACCACGTTTCCAGACTGCCCAGCATGTGTGGGGTCGATATGTTCGAGTCAAGCCATGCTCTTCGGTGTGTGTGCCAATATTGGTCGAGGCAGGTCAATCGAGTGGTAAGGAGAGGAGACGGAGGGGGAGTCTGGATCGAGTCACAGGGTGGGAGGGAGGGGAGGGGAGGGGTGGGGAGGGAGATGTTTCCAATTTTCAAGAGGGCAAAAATGTCGGTCCGCCCCGCGAGAATCTCATCGCTGGTGCAAAGCACGTCCGCCGCGCCGCATTGCACTTCGGAAATTTTGGGAATGGCTGCGATGAGATCGAGAACAGTTGCTGCCGAGCAGCAGCGGGAGGAGGGGCGGAAGAAAAATAATGTAGCCTTTTGTTACAAACTAAATGCTGCTACCCATCACGTAAATTGTTATGAATGAACAAGCAGAGAAGCGCGGAAATGAATAACGAGATGTTCAATCACTGAATGACGATACAAGGAATGGCAAGCCAAGAATAGGAACACCAGAGCTAGTCTAACCATGCGATGGTGAGGTTTGGGAAAGAGATCGAAGGGTCTCGAAGTGACGAAGCGAGGCCCGGAGAACTCCCAAAGGTCGAACTAGAAGGTCTGGAGAAGCCGAGGCGGTTCTGTCAAAAAGGTCCGGAACAGTCCTGAGGCTTCGGGTGTGTTCGAGCGTACGCGATAGCAGTACCGCTCGGTAAGGAATGGAAAATTCCTTACACCACCCCCCCCCTAGAGAAGGTGATCTATATCAGCCACGTGCTTGCGGTCCAAATAATTCGCAAGTATCGAATGTGACTGTATCTGGTCCGAGGGCACCCATGTGTCGTCCTCACTGGTACGATTGGCCCATCGTATCAGAAAGTCAACGTGTCGTCCTTTACCGTCGATACGAATCCGATGGCTCAAAATCTTCGAAGGCTCGATGGTCTTTTCAGCTGGTGGCCGTACATCTGAGACCAATCGCTGTCGGGCGATGTCCGACGTGTCAGGAACGAAGGGTCGCAACAGGCTCACGTGGAACTTGTTGTGAATACGCCAGTCATCAGGTAGGCGTAACTGGGCGGTCACCAGCGTCACCATCTTCATGATTTTGAATGGGCCACAGAAACGTTGTCGTAATTTCGTCGGTAGTGGCAGTCGTAAATTCTTGGTGTCCAAAAGGACTAGTTGCCCTGCTGCTATGGTAATATCCCGTCGATGTAAATCCGCATACCGTCGGGCAGTTGCGTTCGCCTTGCGAATAAGCTCGACAGCTTTGTCTCGGGCAGTCTGTAACTCTTCGACGAACTGCTGCGATCGTGGTACTTGACTCTCAACGTTGATGGAGACTGGTACTGTAGGGTCCATCCCATAATTAAGATAAAACGGGGAGTGATTAGTCGTAGCCGAGGGCGCGTTGTTGTAGGAAAATTCCAGCATAGCCAGCACGTCCTCCTAGTTTTTCCGGTCGGGGCAGTTTGTTCGAATCAACTGCTCCATCATTTGATTTGTCCTTTCAGTCTGACCGTCCGTTTGGGGATGATACGCGGATGAAAACTGCAGGCGCATGCCGTACCGAGCCCACGTGTCCTGCCAGAATTTCGACGTGAACTTCGGGTCTCGATCGCTAATGATTGCTGCTGGTATCCCGTGTAGACGAACAACGGTCGAGATGAAGAGGCGCGCGGTTTCTTCGGCTGTGATGGTTGTACGACATGGTGCGAAATGCGCCATTTTCGTCAATCGGTCGACGACAACCAAAACTGCGTCGTTTCCGCTAGGTCTGGCCGGTAGTTCCGTAACGAAATCCATCGTTACGTGTTGCCATGGGCGTTGAGGTGGCTCGAGGGGCTGCAACAGTCCTGTAGGTCGCTGGTGTGATGATTTTATTCGCTGGCAGATCGGGCACGAAGCCACGTAACGCTGCACGTTCGTCACCATATCTGACCAGTAATAAAACCGCTGCAACGCCTTCAGAGTTTTATCAACCCCAAAATGTCCCGATAAATTCGAATCGTGGACTTCTTGAATTAGTAATTCGCGAAATAGACGATAACTTGGGACCCAAATTCGATCAGTCCCGCTTCGTAAGTAATAGACGCCTTTCCGTGTAGTGATTGGGAGATGACCGTCATTTACGAAGAAGGGGTCAGTCGAATACCCGTGGGTAAATAGTCCACTCAGTAGCGGGTTGCTCTGGGCGACTAGTACTGCTGCGAGTTGGGCAGATGGTCTGGAGAGGGCGTCGACAATATTGTTGGCGCCTTTTTTGTACGTAATCTTGTACGTGAAGTTGGACTCCATATAGTCCAACCAGCGTATCTGCCGCGGGTTGAGATTCGGCTGCGCTCTCAGGTACTGTAGAGATCTCTGATCAGTTCGCACCGTCACGTCTGCTCCAGTCAGGTAGCACCTCCAGATTTTGAACGCGTGGACGATCGCCAACATCTCCTTGTCGTGTACTGGGTAGTTGCGCTCAGCAGATTGCATTTTCCGAGACTCGTACGCTATTGGTTGAAGCCCATTGCCGAAATCCTGCATGAGCACTAATCCGATGGCGATGTCACTTGCGTCGGTGATGACTTCGAAGGGCCGTTCTGGGTCAGCGATGAGAAGTACCGGTGGCGACATTAAAAGATTTTTTTTTATGCCTCGAAAGCAACTGGCTGCTTCTCCCCCCACTCGTAAAAAGTCCCCTTCTATAGTAGGTCGGTTAGAGGTCCAGTTAACCCCGCCATGTTGGGTATAAACCGCCGTACGTAATTCACGAAACCCAAAAAGGATTGTAGCTGCTGCAGATTTTTTTGGCGGTTTCCATTCCTGAATAGCCCGGAGTTTTTTTGGGTCTATCCGAATCCCCTCCGTGGAGATCACGTGCCCCAGGAACTCCAGTTCTTGTTTTAAAAACTCGCACTTGGAGCCCTTGGTGATGACACGATGCTGCTGCAACCGCTGAAAAACCGCTTCCAAATCCTTTAAATGTTGCTCCCGGGTCTTGCTGTAGATCAGAATGTCGTCCAAGTAAATAATCACGCATTTGTCGAGTAGTTCGCGGAACACCCCGTTCATGGTGAGTTGGAACGTCGAGGGGGCGTTCGTTAATCCAAACGGCATCACCGTGTAATCGTAACTCCCGTAGCGAGTACGAAACGCGGTCTTGTGGCAGTCGTCAGCGAACACCCGAATTTGATGGTAACCGCCGCGAAGGTCGATTTTCGAACAGTAGCGAGCCCCGCGAAGGTTGTCGATCAATTCGTCTGTGCGTGGGATTGGGTAGCGCGATTTTTTCGTTACCCGATTAAGGGCTCGATAATCCGTACACATGCGAAGTCCGCCGTCCTTTTTGGGGGTGAATAGGATCGGTGCTGCGAACGGTGACGTGCTCGGCCGAATGAACCCTTTTGCCAGCAGGTAGTCCGGCTGGTTGCGTAATTCGTGTAGCTCCGGCTGAGTCAGACGCCATTGCGTGCATACAGTAGGCTGCGCGCCGGGCTCCAGCTCGATTTTGTGGTCCTGGGGTCGTTCGGGTGGCAGACCACTTGGCAAGTCGTCCGGGAAAATCTCAGGATATTCCCGAATGATTTTCGCCAAGTCATCCGGGACCGAAGCGCAGAGTTTGTTGGTGTCGGTCGCCTCGTTCTGCTCCGTTGATTCGGTTAGATGGACGGCGTATAAATCCGCTCCATTCTTGACCGCTCGTTTGAGGCACACCGCGTTGACTCGTGTCGATGTTGTCTCTGCTTCCGGCCACATTGGTAATTTTCGCCAGCCTTTGTCGCACTTCACTGTGCACTCGCCTATCGTCCAATCGATCTGCGGGGTGAATCTTCGCAACCAATCGCATCCCAATAGCACGTCGTAGCCGTTGAGCGTTGTCGCCAGCATCGGCGCGCTGAAACCAAAATCTTCGCCACACTTCATTCGAACGACATGTACTTTGTCGCGTATCACCAGCGGGGTGCCGTCCACCAATCGTGGTCGATTTCGGGTAGACACCTCTCCAGCATCAGGTGTAGTCGTTGTGATGTCTCTCGATTTATCAGGCTGTGACTCGCACCTCCATCGATGAATATTTTTATTTTTCTCCCGCTGAGTCGTCCCTCCGCCAGTACAGGGTGGTCCACTGGGTCATCCCCCTTTTTCAGCCGGGAGCGGTTGATAGCATGTATCGGAACCACTACTCGGTGGGGATGTTGTTTTTCGGGTGATGAGGCAGGGTCGGTAGGGGGCCCGACAGCTACTGACGTTTGGCGTTTCCCGACCCGCCTTCGTCGTTCTTCTTTATCTGCTTCTTTCGGGGGCAATCGTGAGATTGGTGACCCGGCTGGTGGCAGTTGAAAAATTGTCCCTTGCGAAAATCTTCCATGTGCTCCTTCACCACTACGCCGTGAATCGTGGGCCGTGGATTCTGGCCACGAAAACGATTTCCCTCCCGGGAACCCGCTCTCGCATACGTCCGATGTGCGTTGAAAGTATCTGCGATCAGGACCGCTTCGTGAAACGTCGCCGGAAGCCGCAGTCGGACCTCGCATTTAATGTCCTGCTTCAAACCCGAAATGAATCGAGCTTTCTTCTCTGAGTCATGCATGTCGGTGATTTGATCGCATAACGCCATGAAGACCGACGCGTAATCCTGGACAGAACTCCACTGGCGCCAGTTGTCAAGCTTCGTGCGTGCGTTGTCCGAGGCGGATATTGGCTCGAACCGTTCACGCAGAGCTGTACCCCACGCCTTCCACGTGCGAATCTTGGTCGATCCAAAAATCGCGGTTGACCCTTGGGCAGCAGACCCAAAGTTTCCGAAAAACCCCTGTGTGTCGCCTGCCGAAAACGCCCCCTCCTGTAGAGTATATCGCCACCAATCGAGCGCAGGTCCCTGCAGTAGTGATACAGCCAGTCGAATTTTTAAATCGTTAGCAGTGATCCTAGCGGCATTAAAATAAATTTCCGCCGAAAATAACCAGCCCGTAACTGTAGTATTCTTATCTGTGGGGTTGAACGGGGGCGGCATTGTCGGTTTGATCGTTGCTGTCGTCACGATCGGCATAAACGCCGGTGCGGCTACAGTAGCGGCTGCTTCTGACCGAGCGGCTGCTGCTGTCGCTGCTGCTGCTGCTGCTTCGGCTGCTGCTCGTGCTGCCACGTCAGCTATTGCGGCGGCTTCACTGCCCTTGCGCTCCTGTGGCACCTCACGTGCGATTTCGTCGAAGACCGTTTCGACACGTCCGGTGCTGGCGACCTCCTCTTGGGCGACAGATTTCTGACGCGAATCGTGTCGCGCCTGGCGTAACTCAGCAACTTCTGCACGAAGTCGCTTGTTGTCCTCCAACACTGTAGCCATGCGTGTGTTCATAGCGTTGAACTGCTCCCGAAGCTCGTTGAACTGAGCTTGGTCCATTTGGCGAATGCTCCGCCGGGGCAGGGGGAAATCCGTAATGTGCCGGTACTCAGGTAAGCGCAAACGCTATTGTAGTTGGGCGAATTAATCAGTCTAATTCGCGGGCAACCGCTTTGCAGCTTACGTGAGGGACTTACCCAAAAAAAAAAAAAAAAAAATCAACTCACGAAAACGGGTGAGCGAGGAAAGTGGCTCTGATACCAGGTGTTATGAATGAACAAGCAGAGTAGCGCGGAAATGAATAACGAGATGTTCACTCACTGAATGACGATACAAGGAATGGCAAGCCAAGATATAGGAACACCAGAGCTAGTCTAACTATGCGATGGTGAGGTTCAGGAAAGAGATCGAAGGGTCTCGAAGTGACGAAGCGAGGCCCGGAGAACTCCCAAAGGTCGGACTAGAAGGTCTGGAGAAGCCGAGGCGGTTCTGTCAGAAAGGTCCGGAACAGTCCTTCCTGAGGCTTCGGGTGTGTTCGAGCATACGCGATAGCAGTACCGCTCGGTAAGGAATGGAAAATTCCTTATATAAATCTCACAGAATGGGTGTAGATGAGTTGATTGAGCTTTTGTTGCGCTAGTACGGAAACAACTCTTTTTTTTTTTTTTTTTTTTTTTAATACCGTTGTAATCTAGATGTTTTTAACTGATTTATAATTGCAAACACTTGTTACATAAGTAAAATAGCAAGGAGCGTGCGTGCATTCCAAATGACAACTAAGAGGCAAAGGAAAGCATAAATACATGGAATTTTGTTAATTATATATATGAGGAAATGGAATTTCCTTAAAAAACGTGGGGGTTGTTTAACTGGCGGCTCTATTGCGGGAAACATATTCATAAAGCTTGTATTTTATCAGAATGGTTGGATTCATCTACAGTTTATGCTGTAACTATTCAAGCTGGAGATTCCAAGATTCCCCCCCCCAAGCTCGTACGCCACCGCCTCATATTCTGCAATCCTGCTTCCTCTACCTTTCACTGCTGTCCTCTCAGCCTTGCTCTCTCTAGGACCAGCAGCCGCAGATTCGCTGGCCTTTCCGCCAGTCCTGGTTGCTCGTAGTCTGCCTTAACTTTTACGTTCCTCGGGCATCCATTTTATTTTCTACTCGTTTAGAATCATGAGCGGAGACGAGAAGAAGATCGATATGTCAGACGTTGCTGCTGCACTTCCTTCAGGTGGTCGAAAAAGTTTCTTGGGTTTGATTTTCTGTCTGTCTCGGTCACGCTGATCTAGATTAAGGATACGGCGCACCCGATCTGATTGCACGTTCTGTGACGCAGAATTCTCATTTTTACGTGATTTCATTGTCTTCGTTGTCCTCGACGTGATTGTCTTCTGTTGCGATCTTTTATTTTACCTTTTATTATACCTTTCGTTTCCCAGGGGGAGCAGGGTTGACTGACGAAGATCGTGCAGGATTGGTCAGCGCTATCCAGGTAAATTGACTTCAAGCGTCGTTGATATTCTAGATCGGAAACACGCGATAAGGCTTGTTACTATACGAGGATTGACGCAGGAAGGGAAGGATTGAGCAAGGATCGGTTCTTGAATATTACCGGCGCGAGGGTTTACCATCTGACATGTCTGCAATTAAGTGTCCTTCCCATCTTATCGTCTTCCTCTCATCTCCTTTCTCTTATCGTCTTTCTATTATCGTCTTTCTACGTCCTTATTTTTTAACCTCCCTGCTACTCGTCTTATGCATCTGCTCTGTCATCTTCCTCTCGGCTTATCCACGTGTGTTTGCTTTTCCATTTCTGCGTTTCCCACGGCAGGACAAGTTGGAAACCCTCATGTCGCAGAACTTCCTCGCCACCCTGTCGCCAGCTGTCCGCACACGTGTCACTGCGCTACAGGACATCCAGGTGCGGAACATCTAAATTACCAACTGAATTGCTCGTTCAGCTGGATTCGACCCTTTTTCGCCACGTTTCCCATGCCTGTTACATTCCGGCCGTTTTGTTCCGTTCTATTCGCGTCGCATGCCGTCTAGATTTTTTGTTTTTGTTTTTTTTGCCTGTGGCCGCTTTAAAAGTGCACGTGCCTGCGATCCGTCTGATTGATTGGAAGCCGGTTTTGGATCCGCGCTATCACTGAAGGAAACTCGTTGGCTTTGCAGTGAAGATTCATGCTCTCTTAAGGATAAATCGCCCATGAAAGGTTTTAAACTGATCGCTCTTTCGGCTGGTGTCAGGAGGAGGTCTTCCATGACCCCTACTTCCACCCTCGCTCCCCCCTTCTTTGTGTGGTGAAGCCGATCGGTCGCTTTGTTGCGTTTCTCCCCATAGACCCGCAACCCTCACTGTCCCCTATTTCCGTGGTGATCCTTGAAAAATGTATAAAAAATCACCAATTGTTGTGCGCTGCAGAAACCTCGAGATAAGCTCCCAAGTAGCATAGCAGTTTCTTCTGGAGGAGATGAGGGACGGGGACGGCTTCTGGCCAGACTCAAAAGCCGCTTGCGAACTCCCCATCAACGGTTTTACTCCATTTCCCCCCCCCCCCCGCCCCCCCCTTCCCTCAGAAATCCCACGACGAGCTCAAGGAGAAGTTTCTGGAGGAGAAGGCGGCTCTGGAGGCCAAGTACCAGAAGCTGTACGAGCCGCTCTACAACCAGGTGAGGAAGACAGAGCAGCTAGGGTGCTTGTTTCGAGGTTGCTTGAAACGCGGCTCTCGAGGCCAAGTACCAGAAGCTGTACGAGCTGCTCTATAACCAGGTGAGGAACTGCAATCACTGTTGCTGCTGGTTGCGGTGCCTGTTAACGCGGATATTGATGCCAAGCCGAGTACCACCAGAAGCTGTACAAGCCTCTCTACAATCAGAAGAGGAGGGAAAAAATCATTGTCTCGTCCCTCTCTCCTTACCTTCTCTCGCCGTTCTCTCATCCCTCCCCCTCCCCTTGCGCGACCAGCGCCTTGAGATTGTCGCGGGAGACAAGGAGCCAGAAGGCGCTGAGGTACCTGCTGCTGAAGAAGGGGCTGAAGTTGAGAAGGGTAAGTTGGGGTTGAATGCAGTTGAGTGGGTTGGAAGATATTTGTTGAGGCGAAGGGTGTGCTGGGACCTGGGGTGGAATGGTGGGTTTGGGAAAGTGCCAGCACCTCTTGCAACTGAAGGTTGGTAGAGAAGGGTGAGCAGGGGCTGAATGCGGTGCAGTGGGGTAGACAAGGGGGATGGAGGCGCTGGGGTCGGTTGGGTGGTTGGCAGGGGCCGTTTAAGGTTTAGGGTCATTACCCGTCTGAGATCAATTTTATTTCCCCTGTCTTCTGTTTTTGTCTCGTCTTTCCCATCTTGTTGCTAAAAGGTGTGCCTGAGTTCTGGCTGACTGCCATGAAGAACAACGAGATTCTGGCAGAGCAGGTGAGCGAGCACCACCCACGAGATTTAAATCCGATTTTAGCCCTCTTTTGTCTGGCTTGCGCCACGTCGCCACTAACCTGTCAAAGGTTCCCTAACATTTTCTCTTTCAATTTCCCTTCCACTTTTTCTGTACAGATCACATCTAGGGACGAGCCGGCTCTCAAGTACCTCAAGGACATTCGGTGGTCGCAACTGGGGGAGGAGCTCAAGGTCAGTCGGCTGTGCTTTGTTCAGAGGGGTTTAGGTGGTTTTGGAGCAGTCTTGAGGCTTTCGTTAGTCAGTTTATTCCCGGGGACCCCAGATTACAGTGAGGGACGGCCAGCTCTCAAGTACTTCCAGGGCATTCGGTTGTCACAGCTGGGGGAGGAGCTGAAGATCAGTCAGGAATTAAGGGTTCAAGGGTTTGCCGTACAAGGTATAGGGTTTAATCAGACAAGGGCTGGGGCAGTAGAGAGAGGGACGGCCAGCTCTCAAGTACGTCAAAGACGTTCGGTGGACACAAGTAGGGCTTAATATCAGTGCAGTGGAGTATGGTGGCTTGTTTAGACAAGTCTACAGGGTTTGGTCGCTACTGGTCTAGGGTTTGGGCGTACAAGGCATAGGGCTTGATTGTACCAGGGGTTAGGGTTTTGTGTTCAGGTTATACGGTTGTATCAGGGTCTAAAGTTTGGGCGCACATGTATAGGGCTAGATCGCATCTCACCATGGTCTAGGGTTTGGGCGTACCAGGGTCCAGGGTGTCTCAGGTTTCAACTAAACAATGCATTTTGTCTTTCCCCCTTCCTTGCTTTTGAGGCACCTATTTCACTTCGTCTTTCCCTCCGTTCCCTTTGTTCACTTCACCCTGTCTCTCACAGAAAGTGCTGCTTTCATTTTCATCACTCTTGCAGTCTGTTCTTTCCACTCTTGCTGTGTGTTTTCTTTTGCGTCAACCTTTTCAAGGTTGCCAGCTGGAAGTCATCAGTCCTGCTCTGCACTGTGTCTGTGTCCCAACCCCCTCAGGGTTTCAAGCTCGAATTCTACTTCGTGTCCAACCCCTACTTCAAGAATGAAGTGGTATGTCCAGCAAGCAAGCTATGCGTTTGCGGATTTTAATTCGACTTCGACTCTTTGTCCAGGGTTGAAGCTAGAATCTCATTTCGCCTCCCAAGAATGAAATTGTAGGTTCGGCAAGCTAAGCCCGTAGCCCATAGACTATAGCCCATAGTCTATTGTTTCGAAAAAGAACCAGAGTGTATAGAAATCACTGCAGGGTTTGAACATCGGATTCTGCTTCGCTTTCAGTTTTTACCTTGAGAAAGGAGTGGTAGGGTCACTCAGCGAGCTATGCCTGGTAAGTTGGGGAACTTACAGGCCAATCAGTGCAGTTTCTGGTTAGGTTTCTTCCAGAGGTTTCTTCCACGATGAGATTTATCGTGTGCAGATGCATCCTATACTGACTAGATGGCATTTCCCACTGTCTACGCTGTATATTCCTCCCATTCACCCCCCTCTCCTCTCCTCCCTCAGCCCCTAACCCCACCGCAACCCGCCAAGTCCTACGTCTTGATCAACTAGGAGGAGCCGATTCTTGAGGAGGCTGATGGGTAGTAGGTGCTTGGTGTTCCGCCCCATTCGTGCCCTCCACTTCCAACCAACCAACCTTTTTCCCCCTATCCTCCCCCCTCCCCCCCTCCCCCTCCCCCCCCCCCCCTTTTTTCTCCCCCTATCCCCGTCGCACTCCCCACCCCCCACCCCATTCTCCGCCCAGCTCACCAAGTCGTACTTCATGATCGACGAGGAGGAGCCAATTCTTGAGAAGGCTGAGGGGTAAGAACCATGCATACGTTTCTAGTTTGGCTCAACTTAAGCTTTGCGGTACGAAAATGCAAGGGAACCAAGGTGGAATGTGAGGCTCAGGCATATGCCCCCCTCTTACGATGCCCCTTCCCTTGCCCCGCCCCCTGTCCCCTGCCCCCTGCCCCCTGCCCCCTGCCCCCTGCCCCCTGCCCCCTGCCCCCTGCCTCCTGCCTCCTGCCCCCTGTTTTCAGGACGGAGATCGAGTGGAATGCGGGCAAGAACCTGACGCAGAAGATCATGAAGAAGAAGCCCAAGAAGGGCGCCAAGAGCTCCAAGCCCATCACCAAGACGGAGCCCTGCGAGAGCTTCTTCAACTTCTTCAGCCCGCCTGCTGTGCCCACTGAGGAGGAAGAGCTGGATGAGGAAGAGGTGAGATGCTCTCGCTTTCAGAGTGCTGCTTTCTCCCCTGACGAGAAGGCCATTTCCATCACCACGACAGACAGAGCCCTGTGAGGGCCTCTTCAACTTCCTCAGCGCACCTGCTGAGGAGGAGGAGCTGGACGAGGAAGAGGGGAGAGAATCCTCCCCACTCCCCGTTCTTCCTTAGTAGCTAGTATGTTGGTTTGTTTGTTTGTTTGCTAGCTAGTATGTTGGTTTGTTTGTTTGTTTGCTTTTTTTTTTTTGCCTTTCTCGCTGTCCCTTTCTCCTCGCCCTCCCTTTTTCCTCGCTCTCACTTTCTGCTTGCTCTCACTTTCTGCTTGCTCTCACTTTCTGCTTGCTCTCACTTTCTGCTTGCTCTCGCTTTCGCCTCACTTACCTTCCCTCACTCCCTGTCTAACACTCACCCTTTTCTCGCCACTCACAATGGCACATCGCAGGCGGAGGAGCTGCAAGAGATGATGGAGCAGGACTACGATGTGGGGTGAGTCATGAAGGGAAAGGGGGGTAGTGCTCTTCCTGACACCACTCAGTATTGTGGTATGGTAGTCGACAAGATATCACAGCAGGCGGAGGAGCTGCAAGAGATGATGGAGCAGGACTACGACGTGGGGTGATTCACTGGGAGAGTGAGATAGTAGTAGTGAGAGCACCAGTGAGACTTGTAGGTCTGCAGTTGACAAGGTACCACAGTAGACAGAGGGGCTGACGAAGGAACCCCGTCAGGCATAGAATCTTCAAGAGATGATGGAGTCTAGTTTTGAGGCGCCTCAAAACTGGACTATGACGTGGGGTGAGTCACACTGGTGGGAAGGGGGAGTAGTAGTGAGCAGAGAGCACTGCTGTCTCTAACCATATGCCTAACGCAGCATGCGGAGGAGCTTGAAGGGTGATGGAGCCCCTCTTCTACCAGGACTCATGCTGTTTCCATGCTCTCTTTCCTCCTCCCTCCTCCCTCTTCCCTCTTCCCTCTTCCCTCGTCGTCAGGTCTACTCTGAGGGAGAAGATCATCCCGCATGCCGTGTCCTGGTACACAGGGGAGGCTGCTGACCTGGAGGATCTGGACGATGACGAGGATGACGAGGATGATGACGAGGATGATGAGGACGAGGACGAGGATGAGGATGATGATGACGAGGACGACCACCCAAAGCCTCGCGGAAGGGTGCGTTCTGATTGGTGAATCAAACCAGTAACTAGAGACATGGTACTTGCTGGATTTGCGTCATTAGAACTTTTTTGTGGCTGCCCAAAACGGTTTCTGTGCTTCTGTTCGTTTTTGTGTGTAACTGTTGTTTATGTATGGTGTTTTTGTGTTGTGTTTTACTCTGTCGTTTGTTCTTGTGTTGGACCGCTGTGGCAGAAAGCAGGGACGAAGGGGATGAAGGCAGCAGGAGCAGCGGGTGCAGGGGGGGAGCAGCCTCCTGAGTGTAAACAACAGTAGGAGAGGGGGGAGGGAGGCAACAAGGCGTTTGCTTTCTAGCCGTGTGTTGGAATGCAATGCTACTCCTTGTCCGCGTTAGAGTCTTGGGTTTCTGTATAGAGTTTGTCGTTCGAATTTACCGCATTATTGTCATCAGATGTTAGGAATGTAGACTCTTGAAGGAATAATCTTTAGAGTACACTTAGTACTTTATGTAACGGATGTATCAGGACGAGTGCCGTGCGAATCAACACCGAGGTCTGCGAAAGTTCGCCCATTTCCTTTGGTCCTTGGGCTGCTATGGTGGCATTCAGCAGAGCAACAACCCCAAGGTCCCAACCAAGCAGCCATAGCCCAAGGGAAAATAATAGCAGGAGCCTAGGTAGCTGCCAGTAGCCATAGCTTTAGCTGTAGTCATCGCCGGACGTATCCGTTCTCCCTCTTTCATAAGCACGACAGTCGTTTCGCGTGACGCTTTTTACTACGCGTGTCGCTTTTTACTAAGTACCGTAACCTTTACTAGTGCTATCTTTCGATTTGCCCGAAGTGGAAAGCTCCAGAATTCCATCGTCCCACCTGCGAGTGTCACTAAAATCGCGTCGAAATGGCCGTGACGACAGGAGGTAAGCGGTTCGTAGCCTTCAGCGTGTTTCCTAGAACGCAGGAGTTGAATGGTCGCGACGACAGGAGGTAAGCGGCGGTTCGTAGCAAAAGCAGGTTTCCTCAAACGCAGGAGTTTAAGTGAAGCACATCAGAATGAATGGTTGTGACGACGGGCGGAAGTTGTTCCTAAGTGCCGTAGCCAAAGCGTGTTTCCTAGAACGCCAAGGTGTTGTTCTTGTTTCTCTTGATTTTCTCTCGTCTGACGCGGGGGAGGTCCAGCTGTTCCTATCTGCCATAGCCAAGCGCCTTGAGTTTAGAGACGTCTCAGGACGACAGTATAGAGGCTAAGAGATCGTCTAGAGTTCTAAAATATCCATGTTAGAGCCACCCACCGATGCACCTCTCCACCCTTCCGTGTCAACGAGACGACAGCTGCGTCGACTCAAAAGGTCATCCCGAGTCAATCCATAAACTATGTCTAAAGCCGCGTGCATGCACGGGGAGGGGTGGCATGGAGAGGGGTGGCATGGGGAGGGGTGGCATGGAGAGGGGTGGCATGGGGAGGGGTGGCATGGGGAGGGGTGGCATGGGGAGGGGTGGCATGGGGAGGGGTGGCATGGGGAGGGGTAGCATGGGGGTGGGTAGCATGGGGAAGGGTAGAATGGCGAGATGACATTCTACCCCTCCCCATCCACCTCTCCCACCCTTCCATGCCAACCATCGCCACATGCACCCATCCCCTATCCACCCACCCTCCCTCCCACATGTTTTGCTCCGCCACCCTTCCCGACTTGCTCTTCCTCCCCCCTGTCAGTTCCACGTGCGCAGTCGTCCACCCATCCGCTACTCAACCTCTCTCCCGCCCCACCACCCTTCCCACATGTTCTGTTAATGTTCTATTCTGTTATCTTCCTCCACTTGCTCTTCCTTCCCCTGTCAACGCCACATGCACCCATCCGCTACTCAACTCAACGTCTTCGTCCCATGCTACCTCTCCTCCGTCTCCCGGCCTGCACCTGCTCTCTTCTCAGCGTAAGCTTCTTCTGCCTTTTCCCACTTGCTCTCACTCTATCCTGCTGCTTCTACTTCACTAGGGCTGATCGATTGCTTGCTTTGGTTTGGGAGGGAACTGGTTGGTGGTGACCTTTTTGTCCCGCTGCAGTGGTTTGCCGTGTCTTGACGTCCTGTTCTCCCTGTGCGGTTTTTAGTCGACTAAAAAAAACACCAACCGATTGGTTGGTGGTGACCTTTTTGTCCCTCTGCAGTGGTTTTTTCACGTCCTATTCTGTGTTAGTTTTTCTAGAAAAAACAAAAAAAAAGGCACTAAAGCTTGCTTTCAGGAACTTGCTGGTAGTGACCCTTTTGTCCCACTGCAGTTGTTCTCCGTGCCGTACGTCCTGACGTGCGTCCTATTCTCCCTGTGTGGCGCCATTTGATCACTTCCTGTTCGCAATGTTTTGGAACGGTCCGACCCTTGTGTTCCCCTTTCCCTCTCCTCTTCCTCTCTGATTCCAGGCTAGAAATTCTGGCATCCCTCTTCTCTGCAGCCATCGTGACTACAACACAAGTTGTGGCGCCTGTCTTGTTTACCTGTCTTGTTTACCTGTCTTGTTTACCTGTCTTGTTTACCTTACCTGTCTTGTTTACCTGTCTTGTTTACCTGTCTTGTTTACCTTACCTGCCTTGTTTACCTGTCTTGTTTACCTGTCTTGTTTACCTTACCTGTCTTGTTTACCTGTCTTGTTTACCTGTCTTGTTTACCTGTCTTGTTTACCTGTCTTGTTTACCTTACCTGTCTTGTTTACCTGTCTTGTTTACCTTACCTGTCTTGTTTACCTGTCTTGTTTACCTGTCTTGTTTACCTGTCTTGTTTACCTTACCTGTCTTGTTTACCTGTCTTGTTTACCTGTCTTGTTTACCTGTCTTGTTTACCTGTCTTGTTTACCTGTCTTGTTTACCTGTCTTGTTTATCTGTCTTGTTTACCTGTCTTGTTTTCCTATCTTGAGTTGAGACGTCTCCATATGTAGTGTAATGTCCCCTTCCCCCCTGCCTTGCCTCCTCCCTCTCCTCGTAGGCTTGCTGGCTTGGGGTTTCACTTCTCAGTGGGCATCGGCTAGAAGCACCTGCGACGCGACCTGTTTTGAGATGCTATGCTACGCCTCGACATGTGGTGTAGTGTGATGCCACCTTCGCTCCTGCCTCCCTCCTCTCTTTTCTCCTCCTCTCCCTGCTCTCAGGCTTGCAGGCTTGGCGTTTCTCTTCTCAATGGGCATCGGCTTGCAGCTGCTGGTACGTGCTTTGAGACGCCTCAACATCTTGTGTCCCCCTTTCCCCGTTCCTCCTTCCCCCTTTCCCTGTCCTCTCCTCCTCTCTCCTCTCGACGCCTCTCCTATCCTCCTCTCTCCCCCCATCCCCTCTCCTCTCTCTTCTCTTCACTTGCATCATCTCTCTTCTCCTCTCCTCCTCTCTTCTCTCCTCCTCTCTCTCCTCTCCTCCTCTCTCTCCTCTCCTCCTCTCTCTCCTCTCCTCCTCTTGCTCCTCCCAGGCTCGCTGGGTTGGCGTTTCTCGTCCTAGTGGTCGTCGCGTTGCAAGTGCTAGTACGTGCCAAAAGTCTGTTTTAAGCCCGAATAAAATCTGTGGTTATCTTAGAGAACCTGGTATGAAGATATATCATGGCGTTTCTCGTCCTAGGGGTCATCGTTTTGCAAGTGCTAGTACGTGTGTGACAAGAGTCCGTTCCAAGCTAGAAGTAAGTCTTCTGTCCTCTGAAAATTAGGTCTTGGGTCGTCTTGGCGTTGTCGTCGTAGTGGACATCGGTTCGCAAGTGCTAATAAGTGCTTGCCGTCTGTCAACTGTACCAATGCTGCGGTTTCATTTATTTATGCAAAGGGATTGTGTGTTCCGGCTTTATTTATTTACACAGAGGAACGGTACTTAGGAGCAGCAGTCTCATTGAAACCACGGCCCCTTGTTTTTTTACCTTTGCGTTACATGTTGTATTTTCTGATCCAGGGATGTGTCCTGTACAATAACTGGTGGCCAATGCTCTCAGGTACTCAGTTTAAGTAATTCGTTAAATTTGTTTGTTCGCTTCATTTGCTGCTTTTATCGTTGAAATTACTGGCGTAATTGGTGTACTGCATCACTGTAGACACATCGTTATAGTCACACTGCCACTCCTTATATTCACGCTTTTGTCACCCGTGTCGCTCAATCTGCACTTCCTTGGGCTGACTACAAAACTACACCCCCAACCCCCCCCCCCCCATCCCCCCTCTCTCTTCCCCCCTGCTGCCGTTTCATCCACCCACCCTGTATCCTCGTGCCAGCCTTCATGTTGGTCATACTGCCCATGCCATGCCGGTTTGAGTTGATCCATCCGTTCCCCGTCCCCGTCCCCTTCCCCTTCCTGCTCCCCAGCCCTGATGTGCCTGATCCTGCCCATGCCATGCCTGTTTGAGCTGACTCGTCCCCCACCCCACCCCGCTCCCCCTACTCACCTGCCAGCCTTGATATACCTGATCCTGCCCATGCCGTGCCTGTTTGAGCTGACCCTGCTCCCCCCATCATCCCCCACCCCGCTCCCCCTACTCACCTGCCAGCCCTGATGTACCTGATACTGCCCATGCCGTGCCTGTTCTTCTCCACCGGGGAATCTTCCGACTTCTTTCTTATGGGCACTGACAACGAGTGAGTGTGATTCTAACGAGCAGGGGATTGTGTTGAGTGTGATTGTGCTGTGTGTGCTTGTAATGAGTGTGCATGTAGTGGATTATCCGTTTTTTTCTCCATGGGGGAATCTTCTGTTCAGACTTCTTTCTTATGGGCACAGACAGCGAGTGAGTGCGATTGAAAAGGTTGTGATTGTAATGAGTGTGTTGGTGGTGAATGTGATTGCAATGTTTGTGCGCTTGTAAGTGAGTGTGCATATAGCGGAGTATTCATATTTCCAAGTTTTTTTTTGTCCTCATGGGTGTAGACATCGAGTGAGTGTGATTGTGGTGAAGGTGACTGTGATGTGATAATCTCAATTTCCTCCCCTTGTGCTTTCTTCCTACTGCCGCCGTGCTCTCTTTTGTTTCCTCGCTTTCTCCCAGATGGCAAGATGCAGCAAAGTTCCTCACCGGCTTCTCTGCTGTGAGAGTCCCTCTCTACCACTCTCTCGCCTTTTTCTTTTTCACCGTTTCTCAGGTTGGTAGCCTTGCCATTCCTTTCATCCTGCACCACTCCCGTATCACACTAACAGAGCCACTCTATTCATCCCATTCGCTTTGCCCTCCATCCCATGATCTCCCCCATGTTCTTCGTCTCACTTCCATCAGATTGGCAGTGTTGCCATCCCTTTCATTCTACACCATGGCCAACTCATAACTCTCGGAGGCAGAATTCTCACTCTGATCACTTGCTCATGTCCCATACATACCCCTTTGCTCTTCATCTCTTTTTGTCAGATCGGCAGTGTAGCCATCCCTTTCATTCTACACCACGGCCACCTTATAACTCTCGGAGCCACACTGTTCAGTCTCGCAGCCTTCATCGTGCTAAGTGGCACTCTTGCCCTTTTCATCCGGGTGTCGTTAGACGATGGCCCCTCGTGGAGTGGGTATTAGGCAGGCACGGACGGGACTGTTCACTCTTGCAGCATTTATTGTGCCAAGTGGCACTCTCAGCCTGATTATTCAGGTCTGCTCGGATGATGACCCCTCGTGGAGTGGGTACTTAGGCACGGATCGGTTTGTGCAGTGCCAACTCCAGGAACCACAGCCATTTGTGGCATCATATAGGAAAATCATTGTACAGCGTTTTAAAAGCCCCTTTTTTTTTTCTCTCCCTTTTCCACGTAGTGAAGAGCTTGGGAGGGGACAAAACTTTGTTTTTGTTTCCCTCCCATATGGGTTGCGTTGTGAAGGTTGATTGCATCCAAAAGTGATCCCTCTTAATAGCGGGATTATCCCTCTTAATAGCGGGATTATCCCTCTTTTGTCCATGCGCAGTCAAACAACTTTGAGGCAGCGGCAGCGGGACCATGGTAACCTTTTCAGCTCTCGTTAGCCAGTCGCGCCGCACCTTGATCATGTTTCGAGTTCCTCGTGCACCAGTCGCGACTCGCCAGTAACCACAGCAGCGCGTTTCACTTTGAGTGTCTCCAAATAAGAACTGGATGGTCGGAGTTCATACACGATGACTTCTTCTATCTCCAAAGCCTAGTCCCCGAACCCTCAAATCCCGACTCCGACCTCTCTCGCGAGTGCAGAAGACGGCGCACGATCAGCAGGATTCAGCGTTCCGCTACATCGTTCAATGAACACCTCTCGGTAGTAGCCGCGCAGCGTTCTGCTCGCAGCGTTCCATTTCTCGCCGTCCGTAGCCTCTCTAGACTCCACCCCCCTACGGCGTCTGCTTGTAGGCGCCTAAAAAATCGCCTCGTTTGGATTCTATCTCCATACGGAGTCTGCGAGCCATCATTAGGCAGTACCGCAAGAGCTGCGACTAGGTCAGCAGTTACAGCAGCATCCGCTACAACAGCACCCGTTACAACAACATTTGTTATAAGCTGCCAGCAGCAGCATGTCTCTAGCGCTACGCCACGTGCCATGGGCGTCCTGGGAGGAGTGGGATGCGGTGAGGGAGAGCCTGCTGGGTCCCGCCGCTACTCGCGACTCTATCAGCTTCGGCATCGACCGGGTAGGTATTCGTTTTCCTCGTTATAGCTTCACCCGTTATAGCACTACCCGCTGTCGTCATCATGGGCGTCCTGGGAGGATTGGGATGCGGTGAGGGAGAGCTTGCTGGGTCCCTCGGCTACTCGCAAATCGATATCTTTTGGCATTGACCGGGTAGGTACAAGGTGTGGCTGTATCCCCGTTGTAGTATGACTCGTGATCCATTATCGCATCTTGTGAGTGTCCTGGGAGGAGTGGACGCGGTGAGGGAGCGCTTGCTGGTTCCCGCCGTTACTCGCGCATTGATAGCTTTCTGCATTGACCCGGTAGGTAGCCCTGATCCCCGTTATAGCATTACCCGTCTCTCGATTAAGTCGCGAGCCGGCGCATGCTAGGCCGATCAAGTTCAGTGATAGCAGCGTTTGTGACATTCTGCGACCGAGGTTCAGGGTTTAAGAGTTAATCGATTGCGTTTGTTGCATGGAATCACGGGCTTTGCATTTGCGGCACGAGGCATGGCGTGGTTAGCGTCGACCACCACACCCAGGCGGCTGTGGCCGCTGTGTGCTGTGCTGTGCTGTGCTGTGCTGTGCTGTGCTGTGCTGTGGTGCTTGAGTCGGTCAATATGTCAGTCGATTCTGCAGAGTGGTTTTGAGGATTCTCCAAAACACTTCAGGATTGCTGGCTCTAAGTATGGCTGATGACTTTTTGGTCCACTCAACCTCCCCACCCTTCTGCCCCCCCTCTCCCCCCCCTCTCTTTCCCTCTTCCCCCCCTCTCTCCCCCTCTCCCCCCCTCCTCCCTCTCTCTCCCCCCCCTTTCTCCTCCCCCCCTCCCCCTCTCCCCCCCCTCTTTCCCCCTCTCCCCCCCCTGCTCCACCCGCACCCCGTTCCTTCTCAACTTTCCTTGTCCCCACTCGGGATTTTCCGGTGCAAATGTGCCAGGTGGCAGCGTGGCAGATCAGGGGGCGAGTTCCAGCCTCTGTGGACGTGACAGCTGGCATGCTCGCCGCGCAGCTGCAGGATCCCGAGCTTTGGTAGGTTCGGGTGTTTGCAGATTCGGAGCGCCACGTTCGGGAACATAGGTTTGGGATTAGTGCTGCGGGAAGGGGTAGGTATGGCTGGCTTGGTAAAGTGCATGCCAGCTGGCATCATGACCGCGCAGCTGCAGGATCCGGAGCTCTGGTGGTAGGTTCGGCATGCGAGGTTCGGAGCGGTACGTTCGGAGACATAGGGTTGGAACGATTGCTGCAGGAAGGGCTACGTATTGCTGGCGTACTGAGGAGGGGCGTGGCGTGACAGCTGGCAGGCACGCACTGCTGCAGGTTCCTGAGCTCCGCTAGGCTCGGCATGAGGTTCGGGGAATCAGGTTCGGGATGTCGGGATCAGAGCTGTGTTTCGGTATTGTATCCTGGCTTGCCGGTCATATTCTTTCGTCAGGATGCCAGGATGGGTTCAGAGGCGCCTCAAAAATGGTATTTTTTATCTCCCCTGTGCACCGCATACACAATACTGATAAGTCCATAACCCCCCTTTGCTTTCCCTTCCCCCCATCCTCCCCCTCAACCACTCAGGCCTCCCCACATGGTTCCTCCTCTCCCCCCATTTGTGCTCCGCCAATCATACGCTGCCGTCATCATCAGGTGCGCCTGTCATCATGACGTCATCATCAGGTCAGCTAGCCTTCCATCATGACTTAGGCTGGTCATCATGACGTCATCATCACGAAAACCTGTCTTGGGGTTCTTAGCTTTTCAAAGTCGGTTGTCACGATTTCGTCGACTCATGTTTATTTACGGTTGCCTGTAACGGGGTTTGCTTTAGCTCTCCGCCTAGAATCCTCTTTCTTAATTACGGGTTTGTCGAAGAAAGAGCCTACGTTTCTGAAAGGCAACGTGTATTTTAAGAGGCAAGGCGCATTTAGATATCTACTGTTTTATTCCTTCCCCCCCCATGCCCCTTCCCCCATGCAGGTTTGTGAGTGGCCTGTGTGACACCTGCAACCCAGCGCTGGGCCGGCCCCTACATGTGTGGACCGAAAAGGCTTTTTTTTCTTCTTCTTCTTCTTCTTCTTCTCATCTATTCTGGCCCCCATGCCCTCATGTCCCTCCCTTCCTCCTCCCTCAGGTTTGTGAGTGGTCTGTGTGACAACCGCAATCCAGCGCTGGGTCGGTCTGTGGTGCGGGTGGCAGCTCATGTGGGCATTCCGAGGCTGTTGGTAGACGTCAGACATTGTAAGCTATACAGTGATGGTGACTATAACGAGTTATGAGTGTTCTGGTAGGTTGTCTTGGGCCCAGCGTTGGTTCAGTCAGTGAGTGGTGCGGATGGCAGCTCATGTGGGCATTCCACGGCTGTTGGTAGACGTCAGACATTTCAAGGCTCGAACTCGAATGACTTATGATTTTATAATGACTTATGGGTATAATGAGCTCTGAGTGTAATGAGTTCTGAGTGCAATCAGTTTTAACTGTAATGATTTATGAGTGTACTCTTGGATCAGTGCTGGGTTGGTCTGTGGTGAGGCTGGAAGCTCACATGGGTAGTCCGGGGCTTCTGGTGGATGTTCGTCCCTGTAAGATGCGATTCTATAAAATGTATTGTTTTATGAGTGTAGTGACTGCTCTTCGATCCAGCGTTGGGACAGGTCCGAGTTAGGTTTTTGAGAATTCTAAAAAACCTAACTCAGCCTACCTTACAACTCCCTCGTAGTGTAGTGACTGCTCTTCTATCCAGCGTTGCGACAGGTCCACGATGAAATAGCTCGTGGACATCAGACACTGTAAATCTGTGATTGTAACACGATTATAATAAAGAGGGCCACCAATCTCTTAGCATACCTCTTCTTCATCCTTCTCCTCCTCTTTCCGCCTACTATCTCTCCCGCTCCCTCCCTTGTCCACCCCATAGCGTTGGACTTGTCCACCCCATAGCGCTGGACTTGTCCACCCCATAGCGTTGGACTTGTCCACCCCATAGCGCTGGCTCATAATCGCCTACTGCAACGAGGTGCCTTTTGAGTCGACTCAAAAGTTACCGTGTGTAATGAGTCGATTTTTGAGTCGACTCCAAAGTTACCCCTCCTTCATCCTTCTCCCCCTCTTTCCGCCTTGCCATCTCTCTCTCCCGCTCCCTCCCTTGTCCACCCGGCAGCACTGGCAGCTGGCAGCTGCAACGATTAATAGCGTTGGCTCATAATCGCCTCCTGCAGCTGCCAGTGCTGCGGCTCCTTCGCCTCATGACTTTGAGTCGACTGAAAATCCACCTCAGTGAAAAAGGCTCCTTCGCCTCATCCTTCCCTCCCTTGACGTCCCCCCCCGTCTCCCTGCAGCTGCCAGTGCTGCGGCTCCTTCGCCTCATGACTTTGAGTCGACTGAAAATCCACCTCAGTGAAAAAGGCTCCTTCGCCTCATCCTTCCCTCCCTTGACGTCCCCCCCCGTCTCCCTCTTCCTCCCCTTCCTCCCGTGTTCAATCACAGCTTTGGCCCATAATGCCCCCCTGCAGCTGTCAGTGTTGCGGTTAGCATACCCTTTCCCTCATTCCTCCCCCTCCTCTTTCCTCTTTACCCTCTCTTTATGTTCAACCACAGCTTTGGCCCACAATCGCCTCCTGCAGCTGCCACTGCTGCAGTTAGCATACCCCCTCTACCTACTTCATCCTCCTCCTCTTCCCTCTTTACCTTCTCCCCTTGACTCCCTCTCCCCTCCCATTCCAGCCTTGGCCCACAATCGCCTCCTGCAGCTGCCTGTGCTGCGACTTGCAATCAGTCAGGTGAGGGAGAGGAGAGGGTAGGGGAGTGGGGAAGAGGGGAAGGGACAGAGGGAGACGTAGGGAGACGGAGGGAGACGGAGGGAGACGGAGGGAGAGATAGTACCTCGCTGCTGCAGCTGCCGGTGCTGTGACTGGCAGTCAGCCAGGTGAGGGGAGTGGTCGGTTTTTCTTTCCAGGCTTGCTTTGAAGGGTGGGGGGGTAGCTGTGCTATGGGAGGGAGAGGGACTGGGCTATGGGTGGGAGAGGGACTGGGCTATGGGTGGGAGAGGGACTGCGCTATGGGAGGGGGAGGGAGGGGGGACAATCGCTTGCTGCAACTGCCGGTGCTGCGACTGGCAATCAGTCAAGTGAGCGGAAGGGGTGGTGAGATGGTGCCTGTGAGGGGGGGGAGGGGGGGCGGGGAGACGCGTTCTTCCTTTTGTGTGTCTTTCGACTGTCTCCCTTTTTTTATTCAGGCGTTAGGCTGGGCTGGGCTGGGCTGGGCTGGGCTGGGCTGGGCTGGCTCGTCAGCAACTATTGGAGCAGGCAGGCCTTCATGCTGGCAACACAGAGAGAAAGGCGCACTCAACTAGACTCTCTTCTCACTCCCCCTTCTCCGCCCTCCCTTCCTCCTCCATTTTGCAGGGTGTTTTTTAGAATTCTCAAAAACACCCCTCTATGCTTCTTTCCACTCTAGGCATTGGGCTGGCTCGTCAGCAACTACTGGAGCAGGCAGGCAGCCATGCTGGCAGCAGCCAATGAGGACGCAGAGGGCAAATTCTCCAACTTCAGGCGACTCAAAGCCACCATCGTTGCTGCCACTGGCACGGGCTAATGCCAGTGCTCATGCGCGTTCCCCCACCCACCTTTCAGTCTCTAGCCTGGCTGGTCAGCAACTACTGCAGCAGGCAGGCAGCCATGCTGGCAGCAGCCAATGAGGACGCAAAGGGGATTCCTTTCCACCTTCAGGCGACTCAAAGCGACCACAGTTGCCCGCACTGATCCTTCACAGTGCGGGCACTTATCCGCACTGATCCGCACTGATCCAAAGAGAGGGATAGTCACACCTATCCCTCTCCCTCGACCCCCCTGCCACCCCCCACTCATTCCAGGCTCTAGGCTGGCTCGTGAGCAACTACTGGAGCCGGCAGGCAGCAATGCTGGCAGCAGCCAACGAGGACGCAGAGGGGAAATTCTCCAACTTCAGGCGGCTCAAAGCCACCATCGTTGCCAGGGCTAATGCTAATAGTAGGCGCCATTTCCCTGGCCGTCCGACCACCGGCCCCAAACCTGCTGGCGGTGCTGCTAGCGGTGCTGCTGGTGGTGGCGGTGGTGCTGGCGCTGGCGCTGCTGCTGATGATGATTCTGCTGCGACCGCCGCCGCTGCCGCTGCTGCTGCTGCTGCTGCTGCTGCTGAGTCTGTCGCTGCGGCTGCAGCTGCTACTTTGGCCTTCTCTGCTGCTTCTGAGCCCGACGATTCGATCCTGGTCGGGAAGCACCTGCAGCACCCAGCGAGGCAGAGAAAGGCTCAGCTGAGGGAATTGAAGCGGTGTGCTGAGAGGTCTATGGGCGATTTCGCTGCTCTGCTGCTGAGGCAGCTAAGAAGAGTTGTTGCTGCTGCTTATAACGCGGATATAGGCAATCCGGGTGGTTTGGTGGATGGGAGGGAGGAAACGGGGGAGAGGGGGGTTGGAGGAGGGCGGGGAGAAGGAGGAGGAGGGGGGGGTGGGGGGAGAGGGGAGGAGTTGGAAGGGTTAGAAGAGGCAGTTTGGGAGGTTTTGGATCATATAAGAGGGCTGCCAGCTGCGTTACTGTCACATATTGTGGATCAGCTTATAGAGGTGGGTGCGAGGGGAAGGGGGAAGGGGGAGAGTTGTGAGGGGAGAGGGGGAGAGAGTGTTGGGGAGGGAGTGTGCGTGGGGGTGGGTGGAGGGGGAGACGTAGAGGAGAGGATGAGGGCGGAGAGGAGGAGGGAGGAGGAGTGGAGAGAGATAATGCAGTGTTTGGAATGGTTGTTAATGGAAGGTGAGGTGGAGGAAGAGGGGGAGAGGGGAGAGGAGAGAGGCGGGGTGAAAAGGGCAGCAAAAAAAGTTCTGATGGTGAAAAAGCCAGCAGGGGCGGGCCTGGAGGATGGGGAGGGTGAAGATGAGGAAGTGGAGGAGGAAGAGGAGGAGGAGGAAGGGGAAGGGAAAGGGAAAGGGGGGAAGGAAGGTCAAGGGCAAGAGGCTAGGATGGAGTGGGACGGTCAAGAGGAGGAGGGTACTGGTAGAGAACGGCTTGGGAATGGTGAGGAGGAGAAAGAGGAAGAAGAAAAGGAGGAGGAAGTGGAAGGGGAAGACGGGAAGGAGGAGGAGCAAGAGGAGGAGGAGCAAGAGGAAGGGGAGGACCTAGAGGAATGGGATGAAGACGAAGAGGAGGAGGAGGAAGAAGAAGTAGAAGAGGAAGAGGATGATGATATGTGCTTTGACAACAACAATACTAATAACAGCAATGCATCCTCTCAAGACGCGCCAGCACAGGGCAAGTGGTTCCCCCTGCGTCTCTTAGCCCGCTCTGCCACCCGCTGCCTGCAGGCCCTGCCCTCCTGCCCGCTCTTGCCACACGCCCTTGCTGACGTGGCACTTGCTCTTGCTGACCGGATGATCTCTAGGGAAGGGGAGGAGGGGGAGGAGGAGGGAGAGGGAGAGAGGAGGGGGGGAAGAGGGGAGGGGGAGGTGAGGGGGTTAGGGGCAGGGTGTCTGGTTCTGGGGTGGAGAGTGGCAGGAGCACAGGGGGCGGCAGGAGCAAGGCGAGAGGGGCGGCGATGAGTTGGCGCATTCGGCAGCTAGTGAGGCACGGGCTGCTGGAGTGGTGTGCGGAAAAAGGGGCAGCGGTTCTCGTTGATTCTGCTGGTAACCCTGCTGTTGCGCATGGTGTAACACCTGGTGTGGTAACAACACCTGAGGCCTTCCCTCCTTCCTGGCTGGCTTACTCCCAGCGGTTGCGAGAGACTCTGCTATTGAACAGTGATGTGCTGATGAGGAGCAGTGGACAGGATGGGGGTTTGCAGGCGATCAGTGCTCTCGGGGGGGGATTGCTGATGGATAGTGCGCAGGAAAATGGGGCCGGAGGATGGGCTATGTGTGATGTGGGTATGGGTGCGTTTGGTATGGGGTTAAGTCAGGGGATCCAGGGTGTGAAGAGGCAAAGTGAAGGGCTGGAGAAGCAGCGAGGTGAGCGGGGGAAGAGAAGGCGAGGAGGGAAGGGAAGGGGTGCAGGGGAAGTGGGGGGGGGAGGAGGGGAGGGAGGAGAGGGGGGGACAGGGGTAGGAGAAGGAGGAGGAGAAGGAGGAGGAAAAGGAGGAGGAGAGGGGGAGTGTGAAGAGGAGGGGGTTGAAGTGGAGGAAGTGGAAGGGACAGATTTCGAGGAAGGAACGGAGAAGCTTCTGAGGGAGATGGAGAGGGACCTACGAACTATCGAACAGGTGGTTCGAGCGAGTAGTAATAGGGGGACCGGCGGGACAGCTGTTTTGAGGAAGGGAAGGGCAGACACAAAATTGGACAAGGGGAATGGTAAAAGAAGAAGAAATGAAGGAAGAGGGAAGGTGGATGCGGCAGCAGGGAAGAGGAAAGGAGAGAAACAAGGGACAGGGACAGGGGAGGGGAGGAAGAGGAGAAGAGCGGGTAGAGAGGAGGGACTCTTTGTGAGACAGGAGGGACTCGTTGGTAGAAAGAGGTGGAGGGTGGCTGCTAACTGGGTGCCCTGTGCTGTGGGCACCATGCCGTCCCTAGCTGCCAGCTCCGGCGTTCTGCCGAACCTGGAGCCACCTGCTGAGGCTGCGAGGAGGTCCGGCGCGGGCTCGGGTTGGGCGTTTGGCCCGGATGGTGGTTCGGGGGGTCCGACCCTGAACGAACGAGGCCGGGAGGAGGAGGGGACTGGTGGACGGGGAGTGGGGGGAGAAGGGAAGGGTGGGGCGGATGGGGAGGATATGGAGAATGGCGGGGCTAGAGGGAAAGGGGGAGATGTGGAAAGTAAGGGGGCCAGAGGGAATGATGAGGAGCTTGGTGGAGGTGGCGAGGGAGGAGAGGGAGGAGGCAGGGAGATTGGAGCAGGGAGTGGTGGCTATGGTTGGGTTGGGGGGGGCAGTCCAGGAATGCGCATGGAGGAGGGTGCACGTGTTGGCATGAACACGCCCTTGGTGGGATCAGCAGCACCGATGGCGGAAGCAGCTGGGCTTGCAGGGGCTGTGGGAGCAAGCGGGGCGGAACCAGTGGCAGCGGGAGCTGCAGAGGGAGGTCAGGGGCCTTTTACTCCTTCAGGATATGACTGGGCAGCTTTGAAACATTCAATTGCCCTAATTTGACTTGCGCCTTGCAGCAAATACTTGATGCTGGAATGGACAGTCATTTCTAGCCTGTACTTGGCTGTTGCACAAAATCTCGGATTTGCATCTTTCGCAACCCAACTTCATCATGTGGGAAGCAAACCCTGAACACTAGTACGACAGGTTGAGTTGAGACATGCTTCTTTATGTACGTGGCATTTTGCACGCGGGTGATCATATGCGCATGCGGGCAAGGGCGTCCTGCACAGCAATGGGACCAGAGTCTCAAGAAAGCCCAGCCGCGAACTGCTGTGCTAAAAGGGCTTGTTTCTCTTAGCGGGTCAGCGTGCCCAGAACCCCCCAAGCATAAAAGCCTGAGACCCTTCCGAGGATCTCTAGGGCAACCCCAGTGAGTCTCTAGACACCCCCCCTCACTGGGAAAGGCGGAGGACTCTGGTACTCGAACCAATGCACACTGGGATTTGAACCCAAGACCCCTGGCTCTGATACCATCTCAGAAGCACAGCTGCTAACCACTGTGCTATTAGGGCTGTTTCTCTCAACAGGTCAGAACGCCCAGAACCCCCCAGGCATAGAGGATGTGGCCCTCCCGAGGATCTCTAGGGCAACCCCAGTGGGTCTCTCGACGCGACACAGAGAACCTGTCGTACAACAAGCTCAGTCATTTGTTACTTTCACCTCACCAAACATGACACTCTACGCACGGGTGATCCTATGCGCAGGCAGGCAGGGGCGTCCCGCACAGGTTAGGGTTGCCTGGCTTAAAGGAAGCCCGTTTCAGCTTGCTAAGAGCAGCGGGAACAGCCCCTGACAGCCGGTTCCCTGCCAGCAGCACCTGGCCGATAGTCCGCGGCCAAACACCAGGAATGGGGCCAGATAACCTATTGTAGGAAAAGCCCAGTCCCCTTAGCTGCTGCATGCCGCTCACCCCAGCCGGGATCGACCCTGCGAGGGCGTTTCTGTCTAGAAGCAGCCAATTGAGGCTTTTAAAGGAGCTGATTGTAGCAGGTATGGAGCCGGAGAGACGGTTGGAGGAGAGGTAGAGGGTGGTGAGGGAGGGGGCGCAGGTGGGGGAGGCGAGAGGGGTGGGCGGGCCGGAGAGGGCGTTGGAAGCGAGGTTGAGGAAAGTGAGAGCCTGCTGGCCCTGGCAGAAGGAGGGGATGAGGCCTGAGGGGTTTGGAGGGGAGGGGAGAGGACAGAAAGTGGGAAAAAGAGTTGTGAGGAAAGGGAGGAGAGAGGGGTGGGCGGGCCGGAGAGGGCATCGAAAGCGAGGTTGAGAGGTGTGAGAGCATGCTGGCCCTGGCAGAAGGGGGGGATGGGGCCTGAGGGGTGGGGAGGGGCAGGGGGAGAGGAGAGACAGGAATTGGAAAGTGAGGGTGGCTCTAGGGTTGAGGAAGGTGAGGGCCTGCTTGCCCTGGCAGAAGAAGGGGGGGAGGGGGTGGGGGGCTGAGAAATGGCAGGAAACACAGGGGAGGAGAGGGGGAAGAGGAGTAAAACCAGGGTTAAGGTTGAGGAAGGTTAAGGTACGAGCCTGCTGGCTGACGGGCCATGACAGAGGGGGGGAGATGGGCCTGAGAGGGATGGGAACTTGGGGAGGAAATGGGCGGAAGCACATGGGTTGTTGAGGGGGGAGGTGAGTGTAAGATAGGGTTCGGGTTGAGGGAGGTACGAGAATGCTGGCCCTGGGAGAAGGGGGGGATGGTATCAGAGCGAATGGCAGGAAGGGAAGGGGAGGAGAAGAGGAGGAGAAGGAGACAGAGAGTGAGCGTTTGGGGTTGAGGGAGGTACTACGAGCCTGCTGGCCCTAGGAGAAGGAGACAGAGAGTGAGCGTCTGGGGTTGAGGGAGGTACTACGAGCCTGCTGGCCCTAGGAGAAGGAGACAGGTGGGGTCTGAGTGCATGGCAGGAAGGAAAGGGAAGGAGCAGGGGGAAAGGGGTGAAAAGGGGTGAAAAGGGGTGAAAAGGGGTGAATAGGGGTTTCGGGTTGATTGAGGTACGAGCCTGCTGGCCGTGGGAGAAGGATAAAGGCCGATGGAATGGGGGTGGTGCAGAAGGGGGTGGAGCAGAAGAGGGTGGAGCAGAAGGGGGTGGAGCAGGAAGAGGGAATTTAACGAGGTTGAGGTGTACGAGAACCTGCTGGACCTGCAGTTTCCCGGTCAGCTTACCGGTCAGCGAGTTTGCCCCCAGGTCCAAGTCAACCAAGTGGGGTAAAGTAGTGAGTCCTGGGGGAATTGTCCCTGTAAACTTGTTGAATCCCAGGTTCACAACCTTCATGCTCTTGGGCAGGCTGGAAAAAGGCTGCAAGCTGCCCGAGAAATTGTTGTGGTTCAGGTAGAGGACTTCGAGCACGCTCTTTGCGGGCTTAAAACAGTTCGCTGGAACGGTTCCGGTCAGGCGATTGCGTGAAAAATCAACAACTCCAAGGTTGCCCGAACTGCTGCACACTATCTGCGGAAAGGTGCCCGAGAACATATTCTCCGAAACCTGGATGACGCTCACGGATTTGCTGAACCGAATTGTGTTAAAATTTCCAGTCAGCCGGTTCCGGCCCAGGCCAACGAGAGAAGCCCCGATCTGCTGCCCGCTCAGGTCGCCCGAAAGCCGGTTCCAGTCCAAAAAAAGTGCCCCAATTTCCCTTTTAAGCAGGGCAGGCGGAATTCTTCCAGAGAACCGATTGTTGCTCAGAGATAGCATGTAAAGGCTAGGCAGCGTCGCAAGCGCAGCAGGAATCGGCCCGAAAAGCCAGTTTACCGAGAGATCCAGAAATCCTAGCGAGACGGCGTACGCAGTGCGACGTTGTGGTAACCCTCCGGATAAGAAATTTCGCGACGCGGTCAGGAAGAAGAGATTTGGCATGCGAAAAAAGGCGACGGGCAGAAGACCGGCGAAGCAGTTACCAGCAATATCGAGAGACTGAAGTTTTGTGACCCGGGAAAGAGACAGCGGGACCGAACCAGCGAGCCAGAGGTTTGATAGACTGAGGGTGGTAAGGTCCGTTAACTGGCCGATAGATGCGGCGAGAGTTGCGGGGAATTTTCCGCCGGGTTCGCGCGCGGTTCGGTTGCAGAGGCGCGGCGTCGGTGGGAGCAAGCGATAGTGGGTGGTCTCCATCAGGGAGAGCCCTTCGACAGCGCCGTTCGCGGCGCATGACACGCCGGGCCACGCGCACGCGTTCGGCTTGTTCGCCGGGATAGGCAGCTGCGCCGCCGTGAAGATCGCCGCGAGAGCCGCCGTGTTTGCTGCCGAAGCCTGCGGTACTATCGTGGCTGTGAGAGCTGTACTCCTGCTACTAATGCCCGTAGCGGCGCTGTCAACGCCATTGACTCCAACTCCTCCCACCGCCGACGCTGCTTCTGCTCGCTCCGCAAATGTATTAGTTTCCGCCATTGGCTTTTCCGCGGATGCTTTCTCCGCCTGCCGCGCAGCGAGAAATTGGGCCGCGGCAGGCGGGAAAGTCCGGGCGGAGGCTCGTCCGCGGCGAGCAGCAAACAGCTTTGATATAAGCTGCCTTGATATGGGCTCGAGAGCCGTCGCTGGTGTACAGCGGACAAGTACTAGGAGTACGAGGCACGCTACTACGGTAGTAGTGTGTGCGCGCGCCATACATGTGACTTTGGGGCATTTCGTGCAAGACATTGTAAAGCTTGACTCAAGGATGTCTGAGAGCTAAAACTTGGCGCTGGGTTTAGAGCGAGAACAGATATGAAACGAGCTGGCACGGCAAGGAGGGGAGTGCTGTGCCTTACCTGTATAATAAGGGTGTGGTGCCTGCCTACGGTTCGGACGGCCCAAATCTGAAACTGAGGCCGCGGTCTGAAGTTTGGCCGAACTTTGAAGTTTTGCCAACCGACTCGCCACGTCGGAATTGCACATTGCAATGTTTGGCCGTGCGCTTCGAACTTTGCCCAATCAACCCCTACCACACCTTGCCGGCCAGAATTCGTGCGACTGGGGTCCACGAACAGCTGCGACCGAGAGCGAAACCTGGTTTCTGCATACTTGGCCGGCCACGCCAAAGAAATGTGACATCAACCAAGCCACAAAAGCAGCACCAACCTGCCCGGCGCACGAACAGCCGTCAAACTGCGAATGCTCCACCCTTCTTCACCAAAGCCTTCATCAACACCCCAACCAGAAGGAGATAGCCTTAAAACCCGCGTGTTAAACTCCTCAAGTATCGTATCTTTGGTTGGTACATCCCTAGAAGTGCTGCCTGACAGCTAATCCTGTCTTTCCACCTAGCCAACCTACATGCTGTTGAAATTCTTGGAACAATGGTTTTAACCTATTACTCTGGTGGAAATTTGGTGATTTTTTTCCAAAACAACTTTCCCAAAATTATCTGGAAGCTGGTCGTCAGGTGTCGCAGTCCTCTGTGTTCAAATTATATTTTTATATAATTGTAGGCTTGGTAGTTATGCTACTAACTGCATCCTACTGTAGGGGGGACAACCCCCTTCTTGTACTTCATTCTCTTCTAGTCTACCTCTCTTCTCTCTCGACACTCTCGTCCACCTCCTAGCTAAACCCTTGGCCGCCATTTCATGGCGGCCTCCTCTGTTCTTCCTAGTTCAGACTTTAACATGGTATCGAGAGCGGGATGCCCTTCCTGGGCCTGCTCCCCTCCGTGCTTTCCGCTGCGTTCTCGTGCGTTCGTCGCTCCTGCCGTGCCGCCGTGGCGGCCATGTCGCATGGCTGCCACGTCGAGCAGCCGTGCTGGGCTTGCCGCCCTGACGTGGCGGCTCCGCCGTTCCACCTCCCCGTCGCGCCCCTCCTGGGCCCTGCCGTGCCTCCTACCCACGTCGCGCCCCTCCTGGGCCCTGCCGTGCCTCCTAGCCCAGTCGCGCCCCTCCTGGGCCCTGCCGTGCCTCCTAGCCCAGTCGCGCCCCTCCTGGGCCCTGCCGTGCCTCCTAGCCCAGTCGCGCCCCTCCTGGGCCCCGTCCCGCCTGCTCCTCCCTCCAGTAAGCGCCGCGCCTATGGCGCCGCGCTGAAGTCCTGCAGCCCCACCACAGCAGCCCCACCACCTCTCCCTCCCCTGCATCTCCTCCTGCTCCTGCCGTAGCTGCTGTCTTCGGCCCGGTCGTCGCTAGCCCGTGCCACACCGCCGAGAGCCCTCAGCCGCCGCAGTCGCCGCCTGTCCTCATCGACACAGCCGCCTTGAGCAC